CATCTAACTATACTAGACGCAGATGTTTTTCTTTTCATTCTCTTTGTACTTATTAGTCGTTTCTCTCTCTTAATTTGTACTACTCCTTTGTTTTTTTCTATCTTCGTCACTAGAATCGAACTGCATAACTTTTTTACTAATATGTTTTGCTACTTTCACAAACTTATTAATTTTATCTTGTTGACGTTGCTCGATATATTCTTTATTTTTAATTCTTTTTCCAGTGAAAATCTTATTTACCGCATAATTGGGAGTTAAACGTAGCTTGCCAATGTGTTTTATCTTTTCGCATAATAATATCTATGTAAGATTGCATATGGATTATTTTTCTAGTTTTACAACTTTTCTAATTTTGTTACCCCGTAAAACAAAGACAATGGCATTTTGTCTATTCAGTTATTCAGTAGTAAGACCAATTTGAGTATTTCTCTTTCGGTGCCGTGCTATGTTGTTAATCTAAAACAAATTTATTATTACATACTATAAATAAAAAAGTCTAATCAACTCGATATTTAGTGTGGAGTACAGTGGATCGCCAATCCACTGTACCCCACATGGAAATGGCCCACTGTTCCCCAAAGCACCACTAACAACTGAACAACAAATTCCTATAACATTCATAATCTATACGAATCAAACAGCTATTTATTTCTGAAGCTTATTAGATGATTGTTTAGGTAATTTAAAGTAAGTCATTCAATATTAAACATTTTCGTGAATAAAACACTCGAGTAATAGTAGTAAAAAAATAGATTTGATACTCACGGACAGCCAAATGGCGGTAACACATTCTTCAAGAGCGAGAGCGTGATGGACACTGGCGGGGTAGAGGTTTAAGTACTAAAGCATGCGTTCCATTATTGTGGTACGTGTATAGAAAGCATAGGCAAAGAGAAGTAACCACTGATTCACTGTGTACTACGGCTCACTATACCCCCCTTTCCCCTACTTTAAAAATTAGGTATATATTAAGATACACATTTTTTTAAGTCGTCGGCAACGGAGATAATAATATTGTGATATGTATCTTCCTATTTTATAGGTACCTACTTAAACTTTAAAGTATTCTATAAAGTTACTTACGCTTATTCTAAAAATCCCACAATCAATGATGATCGATCAATCACATTTAATTTTATTGTTTTCATCGCAGATATTAAAATAAAAATAAATATGGTATTTTTGAAGAATATTAATAATAATTAATAAGTAAAAGTTAACACAACCTTATCGAAAATGAAAAAAAATATATCACGTTATTTTTCATTAAGTAAATGTTTTCAATTAATTTTTTTTTTCATAAAGATATATTTTTCATAAATACTTACAGCCATCGAATCGCCTTTGTTGATTTGGGCAAAAACACAAAGAACAAAATAAGAATCACAGTTAATAAACGCATTACAACAACAAATTAACTTTTACTGATTAAATCGAACGTTCATAAATATTTAACTCAAACGAAAACATCAATTGTTACAAAGAAGTCGCGAAATATTTGGCGGGAAAATTTGTTGCCAAGTGACGCAGCGTGTTACGTTGATGAGTGGCGGAGTTGTGACGCTGCGTTGTAAACCGAGAGGAGGATCACGGACGCGAGCTGGAGCACGCGTGCGAACGCCGCCGTGACGCCGATCGCGGCCAGTGGTCAGGCAGACGCCCGCCCGCCGCATCGGCCGACACCGACCCCGCAAAGACTAAGCACTCGCAGAACTACTATTACCTTGCCAACACTATTTTTATACATCCTCGTTTATCTATACGTACATATAATAAAATTGTAACTAAGTCGAATCTGTACATTAAATATTTTTTGGAAAATCTTATTGAAATAGACATTATTATCGATACAGAGTCCGAATCCATAGTTTTTAGAATTTTTGTCTGTCTATCTGTCTGTCTGTTACCGAATCACGGAAAAACCACTGGAGGGATTTTGATGAAATTTGGTATGATAATAGGTGGTTATCCGGGTCAACATATATGATTCTTTTTACCGCGGGAAAATACTTCATTTCTGAGAAAAAATACTATATGTAAAACTTTAGAATTTGGTTTTTGGTCATCTGAACGCGGGCGGAGCCACGGGCAATGCTAGTTGTAATATATAAATGAAATAAAGAGGTAGATAAACGGCATATCGGTATTGCTTTACTCATTTTATATTATACATGTCATGAATAAGCAGCTTTGAAATAGTTCTCCGTACATAATTTTATTGTCTCTAAGAGTCAAATGAGTTGATGGCAATAAAAATGATTATAAGGGTGTAACATCAAGGCGTTGAACGAAGCGGGCGGGCGGGCGTCCACGCTCCCCACGCGGCTCAGCCCACTTATCAATTCAGTCGAGTGGGCATTCGTTCATTGTGAAGCATTGTGCCTATTATGTACGGATTCGATGCTTATTTACCCGTTCACATGTCGAGAATGCGAGCGTAATCCGAGCTATAGATAAATTGCTACACAAGCCCTTTTGACTTTGTACAAATATTGAGTGCTATTAAATACTGCGTTTAGCATTGCTCTTTAGGGTTCCATACAGGGATTCTAAAGGATTAAGCTTGACTTGACTCTATTACTACGCTAACGTTGTCTGTCACTTTGTCCTTACCATATAGGGTTGTAACTTGTACTTAACTTTAGTATTTTGTAGGTAAGTAGGTATAGTTGAACAGAATACATTACTGTGGGGGTTGTACCTAGTAAAAATATAATGAAGTATACATAATATGTATAAAAATCGTGATTTTTAATATTTCTTTCTTTTTAATTTACTTAATCACTGTGATTGTGATGCAAACAATAAACTATAAAAATAAGTAATCAAAACCGGCCAAAGTCTGACTCAGACTATTCGATTAAGCCCTATTTAATTACACAAGACCTACATAGCACAACCGTTTTTGTGGTAGTACGAAACCCTACACATAGCCGACTAACCACAAAATTCATGTAACTCTCGGTGCACCTAATGTGTATGGTGTAGTGGTGATTTTAAATACATTATTGTCATAGCAGTCCTCAAGCAACGCCCTGGTTGCTCTGCCGATACATTCCGCTACCGGGGAAATACCAGGAGTAACCTATGAAGACTACACGACTCAGTGTCGGATTCAACCTTAGCGCGGACCCTGGGCACTGTAAAAAATGCAGCCCCATTAACGAAATTTTGCATAAAATGGATAAAGTTTTAATTATTCATTTTTTGGAAAATACAAAAAGAAAATTCGATAACATTTGCCGCCCGTGGAAATTTGCCGCCCTGGGCACTAGCCCCGGGTGCCCCTAGTATAAATCCAGCGCTGACACTACTACTGTACTATGTAGTATGTACAGCCCGTGTAATTTTCATTTTTATCGAGGTAATTATCCTCCAAATCAGAGGACGAGCCTTTAATTTAGTTTGGGCTGGATTGGCGGACGCTACTGAACCTCTGCACCGTGAGAAGTTTTACACATAAGGATAACAAATTAGTTATTTTTGACCTGTAATATAACATTAGTGATTCAATATTTTAATAAAAATATGCCTTTAGATCCCAGTTAATCTCTATTTTATATGAAAGTAGTAAATAAAACACGTTTTACTTTGAATAACGAAATCTTATTTATTATAAAAATGTACGCTTACAAAGCTAATACCGCGTGCGGCTTTTATATGACCATAAAGCTACATAAATCCACCAGTGTTAAACGTAACAGTACATACATTCATATTATGATTTAAAACTATAAATATAATAATTGTTACTATTTGAGAAGATTTAGATTTATAAATCTTAAAGTATAGTTATTAATAATTCAAGCTTAGTTATGTATATACAACAATTATTTGATATAATCATGTCCATGAAACTACTCGGTTACAAATCGTCAAAATATCGCTACAATATAATAAATATTATATAAAGTACGTAGAACTCATTAACAGTCTCTATGTTATCATCAAACAAAAAAGTACTAGATACACCATCAGCGACAAAAAATGCCCTCACCGAATGAGCGCTAATTTGAAGATTTAAGCGCGATTTTATTCTTATTTTTTTGTGAAAACAACTTTAAGCATTGCATTTAAGGTTCAATTTGCATTGTTGTATATTTATTTCAACTAGAATAATTACCTAACCACAATTGGTAACATTTTTAAGAGAATTTTTTCATGGGATTGTGCTTCTAGTACTTTTTTGATCGAAAGTCAACATTTAATTTTCAACAATTAACTATTGCAGTTGTTTGCATGTCGAATAGTTGAAACCTATCCGACAAGAATTTCATAAGCCAGATTAGCCATGGATATAATGACATTTTTAAACCTTAACAAATCTAACATCGGATAAACAAAAGTTACTAAAAATATTACTTTCAATAATAAAATAAAAGTTACACACATACACACACACACACACACACGTTCTATAACAATTAAAGGTAATATTTTTCGCAAATTTGCGATTACGTGGTAGCCGGTAGGTGTGTATATTATATAGGCTAGGAGTTTCATTTCATTTATATGTTGAATTCTATTGTTAAACTAAGTATTGTTCCAATACCAAGTATTTTAATAGGCACTAAAATTTTAGCTTTAAACAAGTGTGTGACTTTAGATATTATCACAGTATAAAAATCCATACATTAGGCGATCCCATTGATTTTAACGGAAATGCCATCAAATGTCGAAATTAAAGCACTGTAGTGCCAACTCGTGGCAAGTTACAGTTATACCGGTCAACCTTAAAGCCATTTCCCGACTGCCATATAAAAGTACACATGACAGTCGGGAGCGGCACTCACCACTCACCTCACCACGTGTCCCCCGCACACCACGCACGATCGCATGGACGCCGTTCTTATACTATATGGATTACTATACTGTGATACTATTGTGCGTCATTATTTAAATTATCTACTGTGTGGCTTCGTGGGTATAAGAAGCAGACACGGTCAAGGGCTTCGCTTGCGGTACTCCTTGATGACGAAGCTGATGGTGCGCGGGCGTCAGGCGAGGTGCGACAGGTCGTCCAGCTCGGGCGGCGGCTGCGGCTGCTGCGAGCCGCCTCGCGCGAACACTGGCTTCGCTACCACTGATACGGGCGCCTAAGAATTATATTGTAATAATTAATTAATTATATATTCAAAGGGAGAGGGAATCAATAATGCAAAAACTTAATATTAATAGATATAATATTGGACCATACTTAAGTATATTAGCGAACCCATTAAGCATTGATGTTGTTAAAATTTTGGTGAATATGGTTTTGCAATATTGAATATTTCCCTTTTTCCATAATATACATGTGATGCTGTACTTAGGTCCAGATACGATGGGACTGACATGTCCGAAAAGGATAAAAGTCCCTAAATAAAAATTGAGATAAAAAATAAATAATTATATGTTATATTTTGTATGCTCGTTTTAAAAATCAAGCTAAGCGAGTCCGTACTACGAGGCTCACACCTTTAAGATTTCAAGCACACAGTTTCTCGTTACTCCTTACTCCTAACACCATAGTGTAACTAACTCCTTAGCTTTTGCAATGATAATAAGTATATTTACTCAAACCGCCGCAGTTTCCAGTTGATTGTATAATAATAATATTATTGTTTCAACCCTAGTGCTATTTTTAAACCTCCATATCCGAAACAACTATCTACTACATAACTACGTGAACAACGCGGCAAACAGTGATCGGTTGGCACTAAATGTTATCTAAGACTTATAGGTATCCATTAACATCTACAATTTACATATAAGCGTCATTCTGGCGTGATAGACATTTTTCATCATACTTTAGTAATAAATATGATATATCTCAAATGAAATATTCAATCTACTCTAATAAAAATCAATCTACTCTATGACTCATTCATACATTATATACATCACATAATAAATAAAAAAATATTAGCAATCGTCAGATAATGCATCAATTAGAATTTCCTTTTTTTTTATAAATATCATATAGCTGACAATAAAGAAAAAAAAGAATACAAACAACAGTCCTCAAACATCAACAACCCACCTGGCTAACTCCAGCGACGGAGACGGGCGCGTGCGGCGGGTGCACGCCCACCACCACCACCTTCTGCGGCGGCTGCGCGCCCGCCGGCCCGCTCGTCACCACCACCGACTACAACAAACCGGAGCGCCCACTAAATACCACCTACCGATAACCCTGTACTCGTAATCGATCTACATATATTAAATAAAATATAAATAAATATGTGGGGACATTAACACACAGCACCATCTAGTTCCATGGTAAGTTATGAGGCTTGTGTTATGGATACCAGATAGTTGATACACTACACATATATAACTTTAAATACATACATATTATAAATATAAAAAACAAATATCAAAAATAAAGTCAATTCTTAGCGCTTCAAATTTGGTGACCATTTGCAACATTTTCTTAGAAATGCCTCCCAACTTGTTTGGAACATTTTTCATGGTGTGTAATAAAAGCTATGCTAGAAGTCTTATAAATCATCTAATTATTACCCAAGTATTATATATAAAAATCTGCTTGTATACTATAACGTAAGTAGAATTAGGATTTCATGAAAAGGGTGTCTGGCAAGGGTTTGCCACGATGTTAAGTGTCTGGCATTGAATGACGTGATTTTTAATAATATTCTGAAAGTAATACCAAAAAATCACACTTTATTAGTTGACGAATTTAGATCGGTATTTTACACAACTTTAGTACCGTGTACCTGCCAAAGCCACCATAGCCTAAACTTCATAATGGTCCATCGTTCTTATCTGTGTTGGGAGCATGCGCTGACAAATTTTCAGCCTTTATAAAATGACGAAGGTCTGGCGTTCACGGGCTCTTCCTCTATAACTGACTTTCGAAATATTGAACAAATTAAAAAAAAAGTAAACTCTGACTAGACGTAAGCATACTTTTATATTTTCAGATTGTTACAAATTAAGAAAATTAATGAAACGACAGTATATTAAGAAACGCTCACAAGCCTCAACATTCGCCAATTCGTAATCTTAATACCTTTAAATTTAATTAAATATGTCAATATTACAACGTAATATACATATATATGCATATACTATAATATTACCAAATTAAAATACCAGTGCTACTAAATAATAACTATTTAATATTACATATAATCAAAATTAAATAATCGTTCTAATTTACTTATATATGTACTATATAGGAATTCTAACGAAATGCGTATAACATGCGTATCTACAACATCGATGCATGCGTATATCAGAAGGTCACCTGTACATTTTGACTGCGCACGATGGTGGGCTGCGAGCTGTGCACCACGATGTGTCCCGCTCCGCTCACCGACTGACTCTGTATATACAAAAGTTACAATGTATTAAATTATCATATATTATTCAATTCAACTATATTGTTAATAACGTCTTCAAAATTTCATGATTTAAATTTACAACAATGTAAATTGAACCTTAAATGCAATGCTTAAAGTTGTTGTCACTAAAAATTTTTAAGAGCGCTCAAATGTTCAAATGAAGGCCCACTCGGTGAGAACATTTTTGCCGTTAATTGTGTATCTAGTACTTTTTTGATCGATGTGAGTGACGGTATCAGACTTCAGTGAAAAAACCATTTAAAAAACCATTAATATTAATTTTCAAACAAAAAGATCCACCGACTTCAAATTTACAATAAAAAATAATAAATTTTCTATATCCTGATATATATTTACGTGGCACTATATTTGAGAATATTTTAATTAGAAAAAAAAGACTCAATGCGATTTTTGAAAATTGATTTAAATTTTCAAAAATCGCGTACCATACATACATACGTACACAACAACACAAACTAATAATATAGAAATAATGATAAAAATGACATCGAGCAATAATACAAAAAAAATCGAAAGGGATTTTGTATCATACGGTTTATAGTTTTACCTAAAAAATTACCAAATAAATAACTGTGATGTAAATAAATATATCACGAATCACGAATATTGAGTATGTTTGTGTGTATGTGTATATTACAGAAAGACAATTGTAATAAAAAAATGTTTGACAGAATTTACAAAGAAAAAATGGAAAAAGTTTTCACCTGTTGAGGTTTCTGCTGCGAGACTATGACGAACTTCTGCGGCGGCGGCGTGGAGGGCGCCGGCGACTGCGGCGCGGACGACGCCGTTATCACCACGTTTCGAGACGTCACTGACTCTGTGTTAAATTATATTCCTTGTTCAATTCAACTTTGCTAATTGAACAAGACAAAATTATTAATCGTTATATTTACATATGTTTTTTTTTTAAATAATTTGTTGTAATTTTATTATTAAAGCTTTCTACAAAATTTTCTAAATTAGTTATGCTCAAAATTTCGAATTTCGAAAATCTGAATAAACTTGAACACAGTATATATTTTATAAGGCGAAGGTATAATACTGGCAGTCTACTAATCCATACACTCGTCTAACGAAGGCGTTTAGGCAGAGCTATCGTGCGGGCGTGAGAGGGGAGACGCGGGTGAAGTGCACCCGATTGTCATACTTACAACGATTGTTATTGTTTGGAAAATGACTCGGATTTTATAGGAATTGAATTAAAATTAATAGACTTACTGTATGGATTTTTATACTGTGATATTAGCGTGATAAACCTATATACCAATAGACTTGGCCTGCGAGTGTGTGACAACGGAGGGCCCGGCGAGCGAGGGCGCGGGCGAGGGCGGCGCGGGGGAGGGCGAGGGCAGCAGCGGCGGCGTGCACGCCACCACCGCCACCGCGCCGCCGCCGCTGCCCGCCGCCGGCGACGAGCGCTGCTTGCTCACCAGCTGCTGCAGGCTGGGGCCCAGGTAGCCGTAGTCGCGTCTGTACATACGAGTATACTTCATTTTCGCATCGAGTCATACATTAGTAAGTCTGAGTATTACGGAATTATTCATTACACATAATTATTACGATATACATTTAATTATTTGTTAAACAATGTGTACACGCGCAAGAAGTAAAACTTCTGTACGTTATCGGTACTTTTTATGAAATTCAATTTATGTTTTAAACAATTAGGATAGGTGAGATACTAAAAATAACGCATATTAGGCATATTACAATCATATATTTATAGAATATAATTTAAGGAAAGAATATAATATTATATATCATTTGTCAGACAATAATAACGGTTACCATGGCAACAAACGTACGTACATTTCTTACTCCCCAATTCAAACGTGCGTAAAAAAGTTTTACCTCAAAAACTTTATTTTCATACCGCGCGACTTGTAACACCGTGTGACCATACTATATATTTTACAAATTCCAAACATAACAAACACGAACTTGTAATCATCCGGCAGGTCGGGCGGCTGGCGCAGGTGGCGCACGACGGGCGCCAGCACCTTGAGCAGCTGGTGCTTGAGGTTGCCGGCGGCGAGGCGGTCGGCGCCGCCCAGCCCGCTCAGCGCGCCCTCCACGCGCTCGCCCAGCCACCGCACGCGCGGCAGGATGAACACCTGCCACATCATAACATACATATGTTACACCGACTTCAAATATATTCAGCTCAAACTTAACAATTATATAGACGGAGTCCGTCAAAATAAATGAAGTGAAAAATAATAGCGTGGTTTGCTGTTTATGCTCCTTTACTTTCTTTAAACAATAATCCCTTATTTTATATGTACATATGTAATCCCAATTTTATATATATGACTAATACATAAGTAATTAAGTTAATCTATGCTAATATTATAAAGAGCCTAGGTAAAGTTTGTGAGTTTGTGACGTTTTAGGCGGTAATCTCAGGATCTACTGAACCGATTTAGATGAAATTTGGTGAGAAGATAGTTTGAGACCCTGGGAAGGACATAGGATACTTGGATTATATCCCGGAAATCATCCCTTAAAGGGGTGAAAATGGGGATGAAAGTTTGTATGGGGACACAAGCTAGGGACGAACCCGAGCGAAGCAAGGGTGAGTCACTGGTATAATATAATTTTTGGAATAAAATATGAATAATAAAGAAATACTACATTCTTTTGGTTTTTAAGCATTAGTTCCCTATCCCTTATTAGACAGATAGTATAATATTAGTAGTAGTCTTTTTATTATAATCAAATTCATTAGTCATTTTTATTTATTAACCTTTATTTACTTATCACTCAGTATACAAATTGTCATCTATACTTATTATAAAAATAAGTCCCCCGGCCGCGTCTTTCTGTCCTCCTGTCTGTCCTCCTGTCTGTCCTCCTGTCTGTCTGAACGCGATAAACTCGAAAACTACTGAACGGATTTTTATACGGTTTTCAACAATAGAAAGAGTAATTCTTGAGGAAGGTTTAGGTATATAATTTATTATGCTTTTATGTAAATTAGCTGAAATACGGCGACAAATGTTGAAGAGGTCGCAAAAAATCTCGCCAAATGGGAACTTTCCACGCGAACGCCGCGTAAACTAGCAAAGATACAGTTAAGTAATGTACTAGAGAATTCAAAATCTATAAAAATGCTACAAAAAAGTCCGCGATAGCATATCTCTATCTCTTACGGTTGACTTACAATAACCACTTTTATGTTAACATTTTTAATTAAAAACATTACGTTATTTTCAAAGTTATTTTCTTTAGTTCGGTATTAATCCTTATCCAAATGAATATTTTAGTTAGCTTAGTCATTTAATGCAGATTAAAATTGCTCTTTACACTAAATCAATCAGATGAATAGTTTTTGAGATATCGTTGTTAGAAGTAATTAGTAGCGAAACATTTTTAATGCTTGGCGAGCATTGAGATGCCTACGGCGAGTCCATCCCCTCTGCCCCGCATCGCTCGACCGCCTGCTCAAGCTATATAAACCGGGCGATGTAGCGCGCGATCCTAGGATACTTTTTACCGCGGGAAAATATCTTATTTCTGAGGAAAAATACAAAAACTGCAATGTATGAGTATACTAATATGTAACACCTAAGAATTTAGTTTTTGGTCATCTGAACGCGGGCGGAGCCGCGGGCAATGCTAGTTTATATAATATTTTAATACATCATTGTTTGGCTTCATATTTGGTTCTATGACATTCTGTCTATTTATTCGTTAATCTGAGATATTTAGTCATTATTCTACGCCTATTAATGATACATTAAATAAAACATTGAACTGAATTAAAAGAAATGATTCCACCTGTTAGGTGGTAATTGTTTATTGAAATTTGAAAGCCTCTTTTAATATATTTTTTTTATAATTGTAATAGTTGAAATAAGATTTTTAGGTAAAAATAATTTAGATAAGTTGTCCGGTAAAGCCGAAAATTCTGGAGAAATTGAAAGTGCTTTCTTCTAAACAATTTTTTATGATCACAAAGATCACAAATTTATTAAAAAGGAGAAGACAACATCAACGACAACAAGTTAATAAGACTCAAAACTGTCAGAAATATAAAAATATAAAAGAAAAATATTTTGTTTTACAACAGGAATCCATGATAAAACCAATAAAATTAATACATGTTATGTTATAATCCCTTGGGTTATGTATTTCACAAACTTATTTATTTTATGCATATTTGAAGACTTTTGAGAGTAATTATATATTTATTATATTAATATTATATACATACCTATAGTTATAATACCAATTTATATTTAAACTACAGTGTGTAACAAGTTTTATATAAAATGAAAAATCGATAATTTTTTTTTAATCTAAACAGATAAATAAAATTGTAGTCTGTTTGTAACATCAAAGAAATTATATATGGTACTTATAAGAAAAACACCATTTTAAACATTTTTGTCTGTTTGTCTGATTATTCTGGCTAATCTCCGAAACGGCTGGACTGATTATTTCGGGACTTTCACTGGCAGATAGCTGATGTTATAAGGAGTAACTTAACCACCTTTATGTTTAAAAAAAGAATTAGGGTTCCACTACAAAAAATTACAATGTACCGAGGGGTAGTAAAGGTAGGTAGGTAGGTGAGCAAGGGTAAGTCGCTAGTTACAATATATATATGTGCTTCAGTCACTTTAAACTCTATAAGTCAATTTTTTTATTATTTTATAAATAAACAATAACAATAAAATAAAAAAGTCACCTTCACTACTTCTGGTCCAAGTTCAGCGAGTCCCTGAACTGCACCATACAAGGATGCGAGCGGCGTCTTTTCAGATTCCTTCATGGAAGCCACCATGGAGGGTCCACTTTCATTGTTTGTTTGAGATGGACATTGCAATGCTTTTGCAAATAGCCTGCAATAATACATTCATTTCCAACATGATTACCGCTTGTCTTAACGGCGAAGGAAAACATCGTGAGGAAACCTGCATGTCTTAGAGAAGCTACCAATTTTTAAAAGACATGTAAAATCCGCCAACCCGCCCTTGGCCAGCGTAGTGGACTATGGCCTGATTCACCTCGTACTGAAGGGAGGCCCAGCAGTGGGATGTTAAAGAGGCCTAAATACAATACAATATTACAATTATTATAAAAATGAAACTATGTTTGTCTCTTTGTGAAATTACTAAATCATCCATCTGACTATGGTGAAACTTTGGTAAATTATTGTTATTACCTTCTGCGGGATTTCTTACATAGTACCATTAATGAACGCGAGTAATACCGAATAGTTTGTGATTAAACGTATTTGTTTAATCTGAATATGTACAACCAAAACCAGCAAGTAATCTATTTGTATATTTCTATTTTCTACATTTGTCACTTGATGCCTGGGCATAAACAGGGGCACAAAAGAATTACTAGGTACTTTTATATTTTTACCGTTTTATTGAAAATATATAGCAGATTGAGGCCAATTTAAATACCAAAAAATAACAATATTAAGAAAAGCTACTATGTATTTGATGTAATTCAGTATTCTAAGTTTTGTCTGGGGTTGGTCGATAATAAGTCAAAACTGTTTAAAAGGGACCTTTATCTGTACATATAATAAAATTGTAACTTAGCCGAATGTTTACATATATTTTTTTAAATCTTATTGAAATAAACATTATTATCGATACAGAGGCCGAATCTATAGTTTTGAATTTTTGTTTGTCTGTCTGTTACCGCATCACAGAAAAACCACAAGAAGGATTTTGATGAAATTTGGTATGGTGATAGCTGGTTATCCGGGTCAACATATAGAATCCTTTTTACTGCGGGAAAATGTCTCATTTCTGAGAAAAAATACAAAAGCTGCAATGTAAGAGTATACTAATATGTAAAACCTAAGAATTTGTTTTTTGGTCATCTGAACTCGGGCGGAGCCGCGGGCAATGCTAGTGTAATAATAATGTATATAGGTAGTTCGAATTACGTAAGGTACAAACGGTTTGACAAATCATGCCTACAAATCTAATTAAAACATAAGGGTATTGAGTTTTACTATCAGTGTTTCAACAAAGATGGATGATGATGAAAAAATATTATTAACAACATACCTCGTCACTCTAGTTTGCAAATTATTGGTTGAAGTATTGAAAGTTTTGCATATTTGCGCCATGAGACGTGCGGCAAAATCGCGCAATGCCCAGTGGTTGTCCACCTCCGGACGCACGCACAGCTGCCTCGACACTATACACGTCGACACTGACGGAATCAACTCGTGCAGCTAAAATTAAATAAATATTATTAATATGGTAGAATTAACATATAATTTACATCGAGTTAGATCGATCGATAAGCTAACAATAATAAGCTTAAGTTATATTAAGCATAAATTTCGTGCTCCTTTATAAACATATACCGTCTTAATTTCGTTAAAATTAACAAATTTTCACGAAATATTTTTGATAAAAAAAACTAAAAAAAAAACCGACTTCCATTTTTAACTTACATTTATAATAAATTTTAATTCACATTTACAATATTTATTATATTATTACAAACTAGCATTGCCCGCGGCTCCGCCCGCGTTCAGATGATCAAAAGCCAAATTCTTAGGTTTTACATATTAGTATACTTACATTGCATTACTCTTACATTGCAGTTTTTGTATTTTTTCTTGGAAATGAGAAATTTTCCCGTGGTAAAAAGTATCCTATATGTTGACCCGGATAACCAGCTATCACCATACCGAATTTCATAAAAATCCCTCCAGTGGTTTTTCTGTGATGCGGTAACAGACAGACAGATAGACAAAAATTCTAAAAACTATAGATCGGCCTCTGTATCGATAATAATGTTTATTTCAATAAGATTTTCCAAAAAATATCCAATGTACAGATTCAGCTTAGTTACAAATTTATAATATGTAAAGATTATATTATCATATACACGACGTCACATTTGCCTCAGTTTGTAGTGACCCTGCTTGCTGTGCCAACGGTTGCGGATTCGAGTCCCGCTGGGGGCATTCATTTGTGTGATAAGCATGAATGTTTGTACTCCAGTCATGGGTGTTTATATTTATAATATATATTTAAAGTTATATATGTGTAGTGTATCAACTATCTGGTATCCATAACACAAGCCTCGTAGCTTATCATGGAACTAGATGGTGCTGTGTCTTAATGTCCCAAAATTTTTATAAAAAAAAATTATATTTTTTTATTATATACAGATTGTCTACTTTAGTTCTGAACCTTCACTTACACCTCTTATGAATGTTATCATTTTTACTTTTTTATTTCTAAAATATAATTAACATAAGGCCATCCTTTGGTAATATATTAAAAAAAGAAAAGTATAAAAAAATATTAAAATAAGCTTACATATTTCTCCAAATACAATGATTGATTGTCAAGAATTGCCTTCACCATTCTCATCAAATAGATAAGAAGAGCCAAATTATTCTGTACAACATTTACTTTCACACCTTCAGATATAAATGTACACATCCTCGGTAACATTTCATGTAAGCCAGGATCACAGGCCAGAGATTGTAAAGCTTCCTGTAGAGTCAAATAGTTATATTGACAAAATAATCAATTTAGTGTTGTAAATCAAACATACTACATATATAAGATTCGAGAGATTATTAATAATACCAAGATCACATAATATTAGTACAGATGCCTCATCCCATACAAAAAAATTGGACAGAGCTAATTCGTGCTATTCACTTGGCTATTTTTGTTTGCTTGAAAGGATAATAAATATCGTTGATTCGCAAATAGTTTAACTGTTTTATTTTATCAATATGTGCAAACTAATGTACGGTAAATATTATAAAAATCATTCTACATTTTTTAATTCTACAATTTTTAACCATGCCAAACAATTCACAAAATGTAAAAGCGCCATCTGTCAATGTCATTCATTATATAATCTGATTGCTGATATTTCAATAATTATAATCAGTAAAATTACGCAAATTATTTATGAGCACATTTTTTTTCCTTCACTTAGAATATTTTTTGAAACAATAACATACCTTTTTGGGGTCTATTTATTTATCTTTTGTTATTTTAACAAAAGTTTAATAACAAATTAATACATGTAACGGCATCTATTTACAATTTTTTGAACTAATTTTTCTTTCTTCGTGATGAGACCCCATGATAATATTTTTCTCAGGTTTATGAAAATATTTGAAATTCTAACAATTAGTTTTTTCTATCGTTTTATTTTATTTTTTTGTTTTCGGATATTTCATATGCTTTATAGCAAACATGGTCATATAAAAAGGTTTGAAAATTATTGATATTATTTTTAAGTTGTTTTGGTGCCATCTCTATGTTCTTTCTTTTCAAAATTTGCTAAATTTTGTGGTTTGACAGCATTTGTTGTATATACGACATTTCTCATGTCTAACAACTTTATCTCTCCTGTGACCTGACTATGCTGTTAGGCATTTAAAATTTTGGGAGTCAAAAAATCTAAAAAGTCCATAAATACAGTTTAAATAATATCCCATTGGAACTAAACTCACCGCCCGCCTCCCTTCATCACTTCCAACACATGCTTCAGTTATTTCCTTGTAATATAACTGCTGCTCGACACTGAGCTCATGTGTAGCTAGTTGTTTAACATGGACAGATTCTGATGCTTTCAAACGGGCTGCTTTACCACATACTGGTTTACCTGTAGATTAATTATATTTTATCTAATATTATTAGTACTTAAAAAGTTGCAGGAAACATATATTTCATTGATTATTATTAACTAGTGCTTAATTAAATATCTTGATCATTACTTAACATTATACTATATATAGCCTTTAGTAACTGATATAATATTTTGTTGCTTTTATATATATACTACTGAAAAACCAATATGAATCTTTTCCATTTGAGATCTAGACATCTATTTATGTATTATGTACTAGCAGAACCCAGGGCTTCGCTCGTGCTAAAACTATAAAAGAAACTCTAAAAAGGTAGATTTCATACAAATTTCATCCCCTATTTTACCCCCTTATGGGATAATTTCGCAAAATTCTAAAACACGTATTTATTTAATTGTTGTGAAAATCATTAATACAAAGTTTCAAGCAAATCTGATCATATTTTTTTGGCTTGTATTATAACATGTTTATCCGTGGGAAGGACATAATATCCCGTGGTATAAAGTAGCTTATGTCACTCTCCAGCCTTCACACTATTTCCACACAAAAAATGACGCCAATCGGTCACTCCGTTTCGACTTCAAAGAAGGACAAATAAACAAGTACACTTTCACATTTATAATATTAGTATGTATTAAAATATTATATTTTTATATTATATTTTGTTAAAATTAAAAATACAGACCAGCTGCATCTTTGTTAGCAGGTTTGCTTAATTTTGTTATAGGATCAACAGATTCAAGTTTTTGCGATTCTTTTGACAATGGTGGAGGATTTTCTGGAACTGTGGGCTGAACTCCATCAACACTTAACCAGTGAGCTCTAAGTGACACATCTAATGGTATTTTTGGTGGTGGAGCTGATAAAATTTCAGATAAATCAATTTCCTTCTCTTCAATAAAATGTAACTCTCTTCCACCTCCAGAAGCAAATCTGAATGGTAATGAATCTGGTTGAATAAACCCATATTGAGCCTGAAAGAAATACATTGATATAAGAAAATATTTCAATATATTTTTCATATTTACCTATATATATACATTATACATATATATATATATATATATATATATATATATATATATATATATATATATATATATATATATATATATATATATATATATATACTATGGGGATTAGTAACTGGATAGTTAGTTATATTAAAAATTTTCATTTTTAAATTACAATGATAAGCAGTTTACGCTTAATTTAATTGAATGCTTAACATGAAAGCAGCAATCTGAATGTTATAATAATTATCTACAGCCCTGTTGAAAAACACCAATAGAATCCCATCAAAAGCGACAAAAGCCAAATAGAAACCAATAAATATGTATTGGTTTTTATGTGGCTTTTGTCACTTTTTATGGGATCCTATTGGAGTTTTTAAATAGGGAGGCTTAATCCACCCTATCACTTAAAATTATAAAATATTTGTCCAAAATTTGTAAAATATGTACTTTCAATACTTAATATCATGACTATCCTTATAGTATGGCTCAATCGTTTAAATTATACCCATCGATTTCAAAAATTATAAATTATCTGAATATTAATTTCGTACATATCGCTTTCTATGAAAATGTAATAATGTAATTAATTTCAAATGTCACAATTACTTCTAGTGTTATTAAACATACCTCTATATTTTTAATCTTTAGTGCATGATCAATATCAGTTATAGAAAGCTTCTGCCGTTTTGCATGATGCATGAATTTCATAGCATCTTGGACAATTACTTTAAGACGATACGTAACATCATCTGCTAGTTCCTTTGCAGCATCGTCACCAAGACTTGCAATACCAACACTTTCGGCTATAACTTTCATCGAATCCAAAGTGAATGATGTACCATAGGCTGAATCTGATTCAGCCATTTTTAAATATATTATAAAATTGTTTATCGTTCACAGGATATTCACTATTTTTCACTTTAGTTTAATGTTACAAATTGTCTTGTTTAGCTACTGAAGCTTACAAGTTACAATATTACTATTTATCTTCACATATAAAAATAAAATTTAATAACTCAGATTCATTATATACGGTCATAATTACAAGATAAAAATAGAAATTATAAAACAACAAATAACAATATTCCTTTTTCATATAGCGAGAAATAGGTATATATTTATATTCTAATTTTATACATGGATGGACAAATAAAAATTTTATATCCAAGGAGTAAGAACTGACAGATGAGTGACAGTCACAGATCACCCACAAGTCGAAGTCAGTCATAACTTCACAAGTCGAAGGCACAGATTATAGATCTAGTAATTATTGTTATTTGTTAATTGTACGTAGGTTTTATTTGTCATCCATGGTCGCAGGCGAAAATTTAACTTCACCCCTTCGAGCAATAACAAGCTTGTTATTAGGAATGCACGATATATATCCATATTTCATAAAATATCGATATATGTACGCGATATATCGCTTCAACCCAATCATCATCTAGTATCGATATTATATATCGATATATTTCATCCGATATATTAAATATCGTGAGAAATTAAAAGCACATTCCATATATATTTTTTTATATTGATGCCTTTATTTATGGATGGCAACTTGAGTAAGAATAAAACGTAAAACCCCGAATTATTGAAAAACTAGCTTTCGCAATAACGGAACGCAAAGACACGAAAATCTAAAACTATACTCCTACTGTCCGCGAAGGCAGACTAGTCACTAGTACAAGTAGTAAAAATTTTATAATCTGTGACTGTAGTCGTAACTCGTAGTGTGGCTGTGCCTCGAGATTCTTACTCGCTTCCGAAATCCGAGTTCCGACTTCCACTTCGTTCATCGTTCTCACTTCTTAGTACAAATTACAAAATAACATAAAAAGTATAAATAAAAGTTGTCTGTCTTATTTAATACAGTTTACGAAATTTAAATACAGTTAGTGAATAATGTGTATAGCGATATATAAAAACGGATAATTTAACTCGGCAGAGAAACAGACTGCAAGCCAAAAAAGTTAATAAAATGTTGTTTTTGCAAAGTCTTGAGACAAAAAATTGGAATTAATAAATAAATAAAATGTTTTGTTTCCTCACTAACTATTTTTACTCATATTAACCTGATCTCTATTTACTATTTAATATTACAGACTAGGTCAATACAAACAAATAACTTACGACTTACGAAATATCGAAAATATCGATATATTTATACGATATATCGCAAATTATCGATACAACAATACGATATATTATATCGAAAAAAATATCGATATTTTTTATACATGAACATCCCTACTTGTTATTGCTCGAACCCAGTTCAAATATACAGAACCCAGTTCAAATATTTGTGAAGCTGACTATTAAACTGAATACATACAATGAATTTAGGTATCTCTGTAACTTATTATTAAATAACATTTTTTCTCGGATTATTGTGATTTTTATGAACATTAAAAAAACTTTGAAATCGATCACGGAATTTAGAAGAATGATCCAATTCCTGTTAATAGGAGAACCATTGTTGGCTATCTCCAAAAAATCCAGAATGATTCAAGGCTAAGGCCCTGAAAGCGTGTAGACAGCTTAATTTAATTAAAAGTTAAACTTTATAAATAAATAACCACGGAAGATATAAAAAACTCTTTTGTGCATATAAGTAACGACTTCACTTGCTTCGCTCGTGTGCTTTTTTAGATGCTTAAGGCTCTTCTTCTGCTTAAGCTTTAGGCTCTTGGTCTTCAGTCTGAAGGAGTAACTATCATACAAACTTTCACATAGGTATTCCCTAGTTAATGATCATAGAGCTCAGACCAATAAAAAAGTACTACTTTTTATTGGTCTGAGTCATAGAGTATATTGCTACATATATAAATTAATAATAGAATAGTAACCTGACACATTCTTACAATAGATAACTTGCTAAGGTCCAATATGAGCATTATTAAATGAAAAAAAAATATTATGACTATTAAATATTCAATTCAATTCTGTAGGTTTGTGGCTTCTAGGCGTGCCTTTGGGCACAATTGACTTTAAATGTTACTGTAAGTTTCAATGCTAGTTTAGTTAAACTAAGTTATAGGTTTATCATTCGTCTATGATTTTTTTAAACAACGATAAAAATTTAAAATTATGCTTTACGACATTAAACCATAAACAATACGGGCATACCAAGTACCAACGGTTAAAAATATGATGTTTATTGCCAGAATTTATACAATTCCCTTTTTTCAAGGTAATGTAACACGACAATATTGCATTTATTAGGTCTTATTGATTTTGACGAGTAAAGACTATTTTATGATCATTTGATTTTTAGATTTTCTTCATAATTTATATGTATATTATAATTATTGATTATTGATAGTTATTGATGGATAGTTTAAAATATAATATCTATACTTACTTTCCATAAGGTTTGATTGAATTGTGGATAAATTCGTTATTATTACTGACAACTCTTTTATAAGTCAAAATTCTACCACTCGCTTTGATCAAAAATAATGACGAGGTCCATTACCGTTCGTTGCGTTTGTATTCCATGAGTTTGGGTTTTTTAAGTTACATATTCTATTATAATAGTTACCAGTGATCGTGTCCGAAAATGTATAGAACCAAAAAGGATGTCGATAAACACGTGGAAGGTCTGATGTACAAATTGACACCTAAAGATGTAAGTGCAAAAATAATTATTTACTCCATATGTACCTACTTAAATCTTAATTTCATATTTTAAGCGAACATGGTTGATTACAGTTTAAGACAAGAGCATATTCAATAGCGCATCTGTATTATGAAGTCGGGGATTACAAAAGCTGCCAGAAATATGTCGAACAATTTATCACCCAAAAATCCGATCATGCAGCTGCATACAAATTACTTGGACAGGCATTTCAAAAATTAGGCGAGAAAGAAAAAGCTCTTGAGCAGTACAAAACCTCTTTCGATATTAATCCCAACCAAACCACTATAATTCTGGATGGTAAGTATTAAAGTATTTTTTAAAAGATTTTGACTAGGTTATGTTTACTTAAAATTGATTGTAGTAGTAAACCTTAAATGTTAGTAGGTGTAATATTAATTACTTTCATAAATTAAAAATACTCTAAATAATAATCTAAAATTTGTTTTAGTCTGTGATTTATTAGCTGATGAAGAGGTGGCCATTGACTCTGGACGAGCTAAATATTGGTGTGACAAAGCTCAAGCCAATTTTCCTAATCATCCTATTACATACCGTCTTCGTGAAAGGCTGCTTACTGCTACAGATCCAGACCCAGAAGCTTTAGTAGCATTATTAAAAGGTGAAATTGAATCAAGGCCAAATGATGCAGTGCTTCATGCACGTCTTCTTAAACACTATCTTAAATGTAATAAACATAAAGAAGCATTTGAACATAGTTGTAATATTGAATTTGAAAAAAATATATTTTCTAATAACTATGCCTGGTATGAAACCCTATCTGAGATACTTAGATACAATCCATTAAAAGGAAATGAGTGGTTAAATCAATTACTGTTATTAACTGTTCGGGAAAAACTTTGTAACCTGAGCTTATCTGAATCACCTATTGGATCAGGAAAAAGTTTATTGGAATGTTGTGAACATCTTCATGCATATGATCAAGCTATTCAATCTGTAGTTAAATATGGATCGCCATCTGGATTTGGAGAATTTCATGCTGTTCTTTTAAATCACCATCAAGGACAATTAGTATTTCATGCAGCAACTTATTTGCTCAAAAAAGCTAAAAAAGATCAACTTAATTGGATAGAAGCAAAAAAACTTTCTGCACCTTTGATGCTTTTAGCTTGGCAAACAATTCCTGCAGACACAAAAGTTAATTGGTTAACACATGCTCCAGATAAACAACGAAATGCATTACATCGCTGGTATATAGAAGGCTCATACAGGTGTTCTCAGGCAGGCCATTACTTACAAGCTGTATCTCAAGACAAGAGTCAAGTTCTGTTAGATCAAATTTCTCAACTGTGTTCAGGCTCTCACTGGAAAGATAAATTATATGAGAAAATTTTTACAGCACCAGATCATTTGAATAAAATAAAGCAATCATTTCTAGCTTCAAATGCTTTTAAACTGCCTATTTTGAAGCTACCTAGGAAAAAAGAAATACAAACATATGATGATGATGCACAAAGAGAACATCCTAATTCTCTTCATCATTTTGTTTGGATCCTTCTTAATTACAAAAACTATCCAGATTTTAAATTCACCTTGTTTGATATGCTAACTCAATCTATGACTAGCTGTGGACCTGAGACATTAAATAAACTAGATGTTATGGCTTTCCTTTATAGTACAACTTTAACAACTCAAAAACAAAGGGATAATAAGATGAATTATAGATCAACAGAAAAACTCATGCTTCCTGCTAATATTACTGATTTACTATGTACTCTTCCTCAAATGAAATGGTGGGACTGTGCTTATAAGTTAAGCCAAAATGAATTAGGTGTTGAATACACAGATATCCGTTCAACATTAAGTCGAGGCATAGAAGTTGTGCGTTGCATTGATAATCATGGCTTGGATCCTGAACTTTTAACAATTTTGGGTCGAATTTTTAGTGAACAAGCTAAAACTGCAACATCAGTTGAAGAAAAAACAAATTTCGAACTAAGAGCTTGTCTTTATTATTCATCTGCTATTCCACTTCTTGAAAAGTTAAAGAATAAAGTAGTTTTCAAAGTAGCTGAAAAAAGAATGTTTGACTATATACATGATGAAATTGAAACAAAGGAATTGAACAACTTATTAGAAGAAAGTAAGCTCTATGTAGCACTGAATTACTTAAATGATGGTGAGTATGAAAAGGTGATAAATATTCTGTCATGCTTGAAATCGCCTCAAGCTTTGTATCATCTGAGTGACACATATAAAAGAGCTGCCATGGATGAAAAGAAAATATCAAAAACAAAAGAAAACGAAACTAAGTTTATAATACTATTAGAAAAAGCAAAAAAATATGCTTATAAAGCCTTAGATGAATTAAAAGAAATAGAAATGTACAAGAACAAATCATTGTACTCTGATATACAGGCTCTCATAGAAGAAATAGAATTACATTTAAATAAAATTGATCCTGATCTTTCCCCAAGTGCTCAAAATTATGCTTCATCTGATGAAAATATGAGTGATCTTGGCTTAATGCGCTCTAAACACACCATCTATCGTAATGTTAGTTCAACACCTAAACAACTGTCACGACAAAATTTGAACTATAATACAACTGCATACCGCACTGCTACTGATACTCATATTCTTGACAGTACTCAAATGGACTCAATATATTTAGAAAGAATAGAAAAACAAATTAAACACTTACAAAAGCGAGATGCTTCTTTCAGCGAATTTAAAGAACAAACGAAAGATTGGTTTGAAGAAAATCGAAAATTGGGAAGTCAAATTATAAGCACCATCAATTCTAACATTGAAAGCACTAAAGAACAGTTTAAACTTCTTAAAATATCTTTAGATCAAGTTAAGGAACAAATAGATGAATATAGAATGGAATGCAAGGATGTTCTGGAATTAAAGAAACAGATTACTGAATTGAAAAAAGAAGTAAATAAACTAAAAAAATCTTCATCTGAACAAACATTAGATGAAAATGACTTGTACATGGGTGAAGAGTACAGGTCTAATGACAATACATTTGGAACACAACTACCATTCCCTACACCACAAGTAATGCCACCATTTGCGCAACGTCTAATGCCACCTTTCTCTGTACCGTCAAATCCATATCAGTTGTATGGGCAAAACTTTTATAACCTCTACAACCAATATTCTCAATTTGCTCAGCCGACAGCTGTCCCTGGGGCACCTCCTATTTTTGACCCATCAAGGGCTCCTGTAAACTACCCAGGAGTGTACCCTACACCAGATCAAATGTATCTTGATCAATCGCATCTTGTACCTACGTCAGTACCAGCAGTCCCAACAGTTCCAACTGTACCTGTACCTACAATATCTACTGCTCCAGCACCTGCTGCTATTCCTACATCTAAATCAGTTGTTAAAGTTAAAGAAACATCAAAATCGCTACCAGTTAATGTTGTAATTACATCTTCAGACCCATTGCCGACATGTACCACTACTCCAGTGCCAGTATTAAGTGTAACAATACCTCAAAAACACATCAAACCCAGTCCTCATAATTATCAAATCCCAATGCCTGTTACAACTGAGAATAAAGTGACACCTCCTGTTTTTAGTTTTCCTTCTTCAAACAAATCGCTTACATCTACTACTTCAAACTCTTCGACATGGAATGCAAAGTCAATATTTATGAAAGCTCAACAACCAAGCACATTATCCACATTAGGCACTAATCTATTAAAAAATAATGATGATTCTAAAAATGTTGTTGATGGTGTATTCCCAGGGTCTTCACCAAATACAAGTCTTAATAAATCTAGAACTCTTTCTGAAAGAAGTAATACTTCTATAGAAAATTATGATCCTTGCCCTGATTTTAAACCTATTATACCATTACCAGCTGAAGTTAAAGTGACAACTGGTGAAGAGGATGAAGTTGCTATATTTAGTTCCAGAGCTAAGTTATTCCGATTTGTTGATAAACAATGGAAAGAAAGAGGGATTGGTGATATGAAGTTGTTGAAACACAAGGTAACAGGAAAAGTCAGGGTGCTAATGCGTAGAGAACAAGTACACAAAATTTGTGCGAATCATATTATATTACCGGAAATGGAGATAAATCCTATGAAAAATGAAAGTAAAGCCTATTTTTGGGTTGCTAACGATTTTGCTGAGGAAACTGTTATTCTAGAAAAGTTCTGTATTAGATTTAAAACTGCTGATATAGCCAAAGAGTTTTATGAAGCTTTTGAAAAAGCCCGCAAGGAAGCTAGTCAAAATTTGGCTTCCATACAAACTAACAAAACTGCAAATGAAAAGGAGGATAATAATAAAATTAGTACACCTGTTATAGACAATGTATTAGACACTCAAAGTCAAAAAACTGTTGTTGGTGGGTTTACATTTACTAGCAAACCTTCATTCAAGCTAGCCACTTCAAACAGTAACAATGATACCAAGATTATTCCTCAGGTTCCTGTTAGTAAAGTCAATGTATTTAGTGGCTTAACCTTTAAAACAGCTACTTCTTCACCATTTAGTAACTTGTTGAATGTCACTACAAATGTAAATAATACCATAAGAACACCTGAAAAGGTCCCAGAATCTAGCAAATTGAATTCTTCCGATACGGTTGATGAATTTGTTCCAACTGCTGAATTTAAACCAGTTGTACCGCTACCAGCGCTCATAGAACAAAGGACTGGAGAAGAAGATGAAATAATTTTATACGAACATAGAGCAAAACTATTACGATTTAATGCTGCTAATAAAGAATGGAAAGAAAGAGGACTTGGAAATATGAAATTGCTAGTTCATAAAGACAATAATCAAAAACTTCGATTACTTATGAGAAGAGAACAAATCATGAAGGTATGTTGCAATCATACTGTCACAAAAGAAATGACATTCCAAAAAATGCCGAACATGGATAAAGCAGTCACATGGTGTGCTCAAGATTTTTCAGAAGGTGCATTAGTTGCTGAAACATTTTGTTTACGCTTTAAAACAGTACAAGCTTGTAATGATTTTATGGAGGCCGTTAAAACTGCGCTATCTAAAATAGGAGATGATACCAAAGCTGCAAAGGAAGAACAAAATGCCGCTAAACAAAATAATCAAACGGGCTTTGGAGACAAATTTAAGCTTAAGCCTGGTTCTTGGTATTGTCAGACTTGTTATACTAATAATTTGGAGACTTTTACAAAATGTGCTTGTTGTGAAACAGAAAAACCCCAAGATGATGGCCCAAAAACTAACGATACTGATATAAGTAGTACTTCATCTGACTGGGGTTCTAAATTTAAACCTAAACCTGGTTCTTGGGAATGTAAAGAGTGCTATATTAGAAATGAAGCAAATGTTGAAGTCTGTAACGCCTGTAATAGTCCTAGAGATCCAAATGCTAAAAAGACTGAAACTAAGTCAGCGTCAGAAAATGCGCCGAAATTTAATTTTGGCATTCCATCGACAGGAATTATTGGTGATAGTGAAAAAAAAACATCAGATTCCAAATTTACTTTTGGTATTCCTCAAAGTATCAATATTAGTTCCACAGAGCCAGTTGTTTCTTCTTCATTATTTAACACAAATGTTTCTCAGAAGTTCAGTTTTGGAATTCCTCAAAATAAGTCAGTGAAGTTTGGTGCTTCTATACCTACAGTATTAAGCACAAACACGACTATTGCAAAACCTACAGATAACGATGCGCCTTTAAATTTTGTGGTAAAGAAGAAGGATGAAGAAAGCACTACAGCGACGCCAGTGAAACCAGCTTTATTACCTACTCCTAAAGTTAATGTTACACCATTTGGAAATGAAAGTGGAACTTTTGAGTTTTCATTTAAACCCAAAACTCCAAGCAAGGGCAAGAGTCCAATAAAATCACCAAAAGATAAAAAAGGCGATGAAAGTGATGACAATGAGTATGCGTCTGAAGATGAGGGACATCATATTCATTTTAGCCCAGTTATTCCTATGCCAGACAAGGTAATTATTTTTGCTATTTGAATTTTAATATTATTTATATTAAATATTAAATTGCTTTCATTTGCGAAAAATATTGAGACCTAAAATTAAGTTTGTTTTTTTTAGATTGAAGTTGTTACTGGAGAAGAGAATGAAGATGAACTTTATAATCACAGGGCTCGATTATTTAGATTTTCAAATGGTGAATGGAAAGAACGTGGCACTGGAGTTGTCAAAATATTGAAACATAAAGAAACTGGAAAAATAAGGTAGTTTTTTTAATTATTAATAAAATTTCATATTTGTAGACTTATTAAAATAAATGTTTAAATAATAATAATATAATTTATTTTAGGGTTGTGATGAGAAGAGAACAAGTTCTTAAAATATGTCTTAATCACGCTTTGGTTCCTGACAATATGTATAAACCCAAAGATGAAAGAACATGGTTCTTTGTTGCAAATGATTTTAGTGAAGGAGAAGTATTGCTTCAACAGTTTTGTATCAGATTTGCTAATAAAGAAATTGCTATGCAATTTAAAGATGCGATAGATAAAGCGCTACAAGAAAAGTTTGGTATTGTGAGTAATCAAACAAACGATAGTCAGGAATCAGACTCAGAAGATGTTATATTTATTACGGAAATTCAAGCTACAAGTGAAGAAAAGGAAAAAGCAAAAGAACTTATGCTTCCTGAAAACTTCTATACATATAAAAATAAAGAACCATGTCATGGCTGCCGGGGATGCAATGATGATGATGTAAAACCTGAATCTGAACAGAATGATACTGGAACTCAAGCTTTAAAACCATTACCCAAACCAGATTCAATGACAACACCACTCAAAACCTCAATCTTTAACTTTCAAAGTCCTAATAATTCTCTGTATGGTACTCCTAGTAATCTCAACAATACAGTAGATACTACCATATTCCGTACACCATTGAGTACAAATGGATCAAACACGAACGGTTCATCAAACACTTCAACAAATTCAAGTATTGTTGGAAATGATTCAACAGATAAAGAAAATACGTTAACTCAAAGCTCACCAAATCCCATTAAACCAGTACCTTTTGGTAGTGGTGGTAGTGGTGGTCAATTATCTAGTTTGTCTTCTATTTTAGCAGCACCTAAGTTAAATACCGTAAATTCACCAGTAAACAGTAATGGGTCATCTGCGCCTAAATCAGTATTTGGATCAACTGAGCCAAAATCAGTCTTTGGCGAAAACAAATCTGTTTTTGGTGAATCAAAACCTCTGTTTAGTCAATCTTCTGGTAAACCTATACTAGGATTTAATGTTCAACCCAATGAAACAGATACACACTCAACTGAAGTCAAATCAATATTTTCCCCAGATGTCAAACCGTCTGTTAATTTGTTTAGTGGTACTTCCGGGGGCAATATTTTTGGCCCTGCAGCCTTAAAGATATCACAATCTACAGGAATATTTGGGCCTTCTGGAACATTTAAATTTGGAACGACACCAGCAAATCAAGATACTTCAAAATCCATATTTGGACAAGCTAGCGATAAAAATGCAGATTTAAATATTAAATCTGATATAACTTCTAATAAGACAGATTCGGATTCTAGTGAAAAGTTTGTGTTTGGAAAATTAGCACAGCCTCAGGAAAGTGTCAAAACATGGCTTGGAACAGTAAGCAGTGATATGCCTACGACTTTCGAGACCAAAAATAATGCAGATATTAGAATCAATGAAGAAAAGAAAACATTACCAGCAGCAAGTGCCGAACTTGAAAAAAAACCTCTGTTTGGGTCAGATAATGCACTTACTTTTGAAGCTTTGTCTTCAACTGTTCCTGGATTTGGTACTCAAAGTAAGTATTTATAAAATTAGCAATGACGACAACTTATTTGATATTATAACACTATAAATATATCTTTTTTTTTCTTAGAAAAAAATGATTTCCAATGGGAAGGTGCAGGCCAACAACTGTTCACAACTTCATCTAATAGAGAAAGTGCAGATAAATCTAAAGACGGGGCAGATGATTCTGGTGCAGGAGTTACTGTGGAAGACGAATATGATCCTCATTACGAACCGATTGTGCCCCTTCCTGATAAAATAATTGTTACAACCGGGGAAGAGGATGAGGTTAGAAATATCTAGAATGTTTAGTTTTATTGCTATTTGAACATTATATATTCTCGTTATGTAACATATTTTGATATTTTCTAGGAAAAACTATTTGGTGAACGCTGCAAGTTGTATCGCTTCGACGAAAAAACTCGTGAATGGAAAGAACGAGGAGTTGGTGAAATGAAAATTTTGTACCATCCCGAACGTAACAGTTATAGATTACTTCTTCGAAGAGAACAGGTATTATATAATAATAATAATAACGGTCAAAGTTAAAATGGTTGTCAATCCATTTATTTATATCTTTTAGTATATAGCTTAATTTTTTACATAATATGGTAATTTGTAATACAATGTTTACTTTATAGGTGCATAAAGCGGTGTTGAATATGCTCCTATTTATGGACTTAGAACTATTACCAATGAAAAATTCGGACCGCGCATGGACTTGGGCGGGGCGCAACTACGCGGAGATCGCCGGGGAACAAGAAACTTTGGCTGTCCGCTTCAAGTCGGTCGATTTGGCCACCGCCTTCCGCAATAAAGTCATGGAGTGTGTCAGGGTATACAACTTTGAAAACTTAATTATATAATATTTTGCAGAGATGAGACATTTTGAAAATATTAGTATTTGAAATGCAAAATACAAAATATCTATTTCCATTTTGTATTCAAATACTTTTTTAAAAAAGGATTTTGTATTTTTTTGAAAAACCTTTTTGGACAAATCTTGTATTTGCAAAATGGAAAATACTTTTTGATAAGTTTTGATATGATTATGAGACCGCACAGAAGGAAGTTGAGTGACAATGTCTTCGAACAAATTATTTTATTAAAATTATTAAAAGTACCAATTAGCTAACAAAAGTGACCCCTCTAGAAAAAATTAAAAACAATATTTTTTTTTAATTGCATAGGACTTATAAGTTATCATAATGTTATTCATTGACATTCAAATACGGTGTCGTATATAGCCTAGACGGATTGTCTAAAAAAAAGCCTAACGGCTAACCTCGAAAAAAATCTAGGGTAAAGTATTATTTCACTAGCCTTTAAGAGGAGGGTCACTGGGAGTGTAAGTTCAAAATCGCGACCAAATTCGAGCTATGAGTTAGCCGCCATCTTGATTTTTAGGGGGAATTGTTTTTCCTCAATATGGAATCAAAATGGAATAGGACCGATCCTTTTTAACTTTTCGAGGAAATTGTAAGGACTAAAGTTGTTCATTATTCAAATTTCTACATTTTATTTCTTGCTCATTTTTTCGTTCGATCGATATTTTCCGAGTTAATGGGAAAAACGGGGAAAATATAGTTATATGACTTTAAGGCCTAAATAAATGTACAGGAACGAAGTGTGTGGAATTAAAATTGCTAAAATTCCCCCCATTACTTTAATCACTTACTTAAATTGCCAGCTTACTAATAAAATAAAGAAAGTTAAAAACTATAAAAGTATTTTATTTGAATAAAGTATTTTGGAAATAAATATAATCTCTGAGATTTTGTTACTATATGTTGTATGTGCATATACTATGTTGTACGTAATACTTTGTTACTTTTCTTTTTTATAAGAGAACAATTCCATTTATAAATTGGTAATAATTAAAATTAAATGGGTAATAATTAAAAAAATAAATAAGTAAAATTGGTACAGTTTAATCTTCTATTTCATTGCATTAAGAAGTATATTTTTTTCTTGTCAATTTACCATTTATAGCTTATTACCCAAATGTTGTATTAATACCTCGTATAATTCTAATATTATATTAATATAGAAACTACAAGTGGCTGCAGCAGAGGCTATTAGGAAAGAAAAAGAGGCTAAAGAGACACAGTTCGAGAGCATTGCACCATTGCGGCTACCCAAACATTTAGGGGAATCTGCTCGCGCCGAGGCATCGTTCCAGCCTTCGACGGCGAAAGAGCCTTCATCAGTTGTAGAAGAACCAGAAAATAATCAAAATGGCTTACAAAAGTCCCAAAACAGTGATGAATCTAAACAGGTCCACTTCGAAGAGCCGGAAGAAGACCATGGCGACTATGAGGAAGTAGATTACGAACATGATTATGACCACAACGAAGATTCCGACGGATATTACAATGAGGTATGTAATGCAATAGCATTTTTAATATTTTTAACAGGACGCGATTTTTCGTCCGATCTACGGGTCTACGGGAAGCGTTTAGTCCAGTCAAATAAGATCTGATTTCGCTTATGTTTCTACTAACTACAATTTTTTAAAATTTACGTTCATCCCTTAAACTTAAACCACCCTAACTCGGTTCATTTTGAAAAGTCAAAAGTCATGATACTTTTTTATGTAAAATTTTAAGCTCTACATATTTTTATTAAAACTTTTTTGTCTAATTTTTACCGTTTTCGAGTAGTTACGAAAAAACATTTTTGAACATTTGTTTTCAACCCTTGCCGGGGGTTAATGACTCGAAAACCTTTACACATTGTTTTTGTATCATTAAAACTACATTATATCAAAAATGCAAAGTTGAGGTTCAAATTTTGATTTCAGACCTTATTTGACTGGACTATTTTCCGTAGCTGACCCGTAGACCAAACTGATTCATATAACAAAGCACTTATGATATTGAGGGTTCTGGGTTTGAAATAAAAAAAAGACCTAACCTAGGAAGGGTAAGATTCTTAACCTATGGTGTCTAAGTCGGGCTTGTCACATATAATACTATCCACTCCTCCAGAGGCTGCGTCGCGTCCTATATACTAAAAAGGCCGAATAATACCTCAAAAGCAGTTCGGCTTAGGCCACATGAGTTAGACCTTAAGTATATATTTAGTATTTTGTCCGGGCTAAAGTAGTATCTCCTGACACACTTTGGATGAACCGGTCCGGCCTAGGACAAACCAGTTTGGCCTGAAATCTAGTTTGGCCTTTAACATACAATTTAGAAAATGTCACATAATTTGTTTTTGACATCTAATTTATAAGCAAATGTAAAATTTCCCGATCCACGGTTCAGTTACGGGAAAGTCCCGTAAAACCGTAAATCGGGCGAATACTCACTTCGTTTTTAAAAATATTCAGAATAGTTTTATTATTACATTTGGAAAATATTTATTAGGTTTGTAAAAATAGCCTATTAATTTGTAAGATTAGAGTTTAAAAGGAGTTAATGTTAAAGTACATAAATATTGAGTATGTCTTTTGTTATGCAAATTAATTAAAACAAATATTTTAATTACACATTTTATTTCATATACCATAATGTGTTTAGGAGGATGAGGAGTCGTCAGTGTATTACCCTTGTAAGGCTATCATAAAGCAGGGCGACACCGAAACCGTCTGTGATATGACGCACGTACACGTCTCCTTCGACCAAGAGATCGACTCGCCCAAGATTCTCGTCACTGACTCCAACACCGGCGAGATTCTCGCCGATATGCTTATACACACAGATACTGAGTTCCAGGTACCGTATACAGATAACTATAATTTTAAAATAATAATAAAATCTTTATTGGGCATGTTTTAATGATTATCATTTCTCTTTCTAATTTTTGACTATAGTCATCTTCTGGCTTATTTCGGCCATGGGCCACTTTCATTGATTGTGAGACTAGCCATGGGTGCAGAAGATATGTAATTGTCCAAGTATGAGCGCATATAAATAATAAATATAAAGATGTTGGGCCATTAACACACAGAACCATCTAGTTCCAAAGTAAGCTACGAGGCTTGTGTTATGAATACCAGATAGTTGATACACTACACATATTATATAACTTTAAATACATACATATTATAAATATAAACACCCATGACTAGAGTACAAACATTTGTGTTCATCTTACAAATGAATGCCCCCAGCAGGATTCGAACCCGCGACCCTTGGCACAGCAAGTAATGTCGCTACAAACTGAGCCAAACGTGTCGTCGAATACGCTCTTTATTCCTATCACTCTCATATTCCGGCGCCGTTTATAAACCGCTTAGATAATAAAAAGTAGTCTATAAATACTTCAGTTAGGCTTAAGGATTGAAGAGTATGTTCTAAAAACACAACACAGAAAGAATACACAACAATCCCGTTAACACACACATCACAGATCTTTTACCATACGTATGTGTAGGATATATATTTTGAACGATTTATTTGCGCATTGCGAGCTAAGAGAGCTCAAGGCTACGTCCGCTCTTTGAAAAAAAAATTATAATCTTCAGAATCGGTATTCAGACAGCAGTTCCATTATTTAACTCCGACATCTGTAATGTACAGTATATACCTCTACGATCGCAGTGTATTATAAGAAACTCCTACCAATTTCTACTTTTTGTTTTAGCTTTCTGATGACACATGCTCCTGGTCGGGAATGGATTATACAACAAACGTTACAGTAGAAAAGACTTTGACGATAACATTTCCTGATAGCCACACCGCTATGGAGTTCTATGACAGTTGCGAGGTAAGATATTCAATGTGCAGATTCGACTCAGAATTTTATCTTATGTATATATAATACATTTAGTAAGATTTTCCATTTATTAGTAACTGTAATTATTAATTAGTCATACCTTTATTTCAGACCAGCAAGGCCGCGACGTTTGCGTCGACGGACCCAGAATCGTAAACAGGTTTTAGGATAAAAATAATTGCTTGTGTTTAACTTAGTAAATAAGTATGTAGTATTGTTTTTCTTACATTATTTAGGAGACGTAGATTTAAAATATGTTTTATTTGATTTTGTTACCTTTCAATATAGTATAGTCAAGATCTCAGGAAGACATGTTATGATCATCTTATTATAATTTTTAGGCCCACAGGTTGCCTTAGATGCTTCTCATGTATATTATATATTATCATATAAATTGTAATAAATTATGAACATTTTTATTATGTACAATACAATATAGGGTAAAAGCCTGATAGTTGCCTTACCTTTTGAAAATCTCCAATTACATAAAAATTAAGAATCTACTTACAATATGCTCCGGTTATAATAAAACATTGGTCTTTAATCTTTCATTGTGACCTAATTTTTTAAACACAATCAATATTGTTTTTCAGTAAATCCTGTTTTATTTGACCTCTACAAAAAAGGATAGTTGCCCTCTGGGGCCGATAGTTGCCTCATGGTAAAAATGCTTGCCTCATGCTGGGATAGAAAACTCATTATGAAATTGCTTCAATTTTTTTTTTGGACTAAAACATGTAAATTTGATCAACCATTTATTATTAATTATACTTAACCTCAATTTATTAAGTAGGTACTAATCAATACAACTTTTAAAATACAAATAAAATCTCCTAACTTTAAGTTACAAATAATAATTAATTTTAAAGATAAAAATAATTTGGCAATCAACTTTGGCACAAATATTAAAATTAGTGGGTATAACTCGCGTCATCTAAAAAGAACGCTGGAAGAAAGTGGAGAGGGTATGTTTGCGCAAGGGTATACTCGTGCACAAAAGTACTAAGCCTATTATTTTATTTTTCATAACATTTCGCTCGCGGCTTCATATATTAGTTATTGGTAGGGACATTTAAAAATATATTAGATAGAATATCATTAAATAGAATTCTATTCATTATTAAAATATGTTTGATTCAGTGTAGAATGTTTAATCTACTTAAAAAAATTAAGTGAAAAAGCTTAATACATTTTTTTAAATTATTAACTGCATTATTATCGGACTCTCTCTTTTGTAAAACAATATACGTCAAAAATAATTTTTCTCTTTTCTATATATAAAACCATTTCGTAATTAAAAACTTTTGTGTGCGCGATGGTATTTCGAAATGACGAACTTATAGCGCGCCGGCAGGCATGCGGCGCGTGCCCCGCCGCCCCGAGACTCCCCGCGCCCCACTTCATACTTCCCACTTCACCAATTTGACCGATAAATCGCTTCTGCGCAGCTTGACAGCCAACGTTCTTTTTAGATGACACGAGTTATAGGTGGATATCACAAAAAAAAGAAAAATCATCATCAATTACGAAGCCAGAACTTTCGATTTTCCACATTTCCACAATATTCTTTAATGAAGAATAATTTTCCTGGAAATACAATTAGTCTGATTTGGATTTAGTATTATTGTAATTTTCATAACATTTGCAATAATCATCAATTGAAACTTTATCATTCGTATTTTCAATTTTGTATCGTTTATAACTTTTAGTGTTTTTTCAGTGTTTTGTTTAGTTTTATCCTTTTCGGTACGGATATTTGCCCTTATATTTTGGAAAATAAATAAAAGCTATTTAACAGTATAAGGTAATAGGTAGTATAATTTAAACTTTAGTGCACGCGTAGAAGCCAAAAGTTGACTAAATCAACAAGCGCAAAAGAAAATATTCAATAGAAAATACGAATACCATTTCAACACTCGTCAACGTCCTGCCGCGGAAGATTTTCGGTCACACAGACAAAACAGGTGCACCTAGTCCTACTATTGGCATGGCGCTAAGGTCTGTGGAACAGGCGCTTCAAATTACAGAACAGCGCTAACGTCAGGGACATCTTTAATATATTATATATTGAAAACCGGGGCGTGTATCCAACTGAGGCAACTATCCGGCTTTTACCCTAGGGATATTTTCCTTTACATGCACCTATTAAAAATATTACTTTGAAATAGATATAAATCATATCATTCCAAATTTTTTTGTGTTGGCAATTAGAAATTCTAAAGTAGTATTAAGAAAAAATATAACAGCCATCAGTTCAAAAGATAAGTAGAAGAAGAAAACCAAGAAGTGAAACCATGTGTCAATACGGTGTAATTATTTAAAGATTGTGATTAGTACTTAATATGTTTTTTATAATGTTTAGGCACCATAAAATAGTCTGTGGGCATTGTGAAGCTGTTTGGTTTTAATAAAAAATAATGATAAAAACTTATTAAATTATAATGATTGCTTTCAAAAACCCGAGTGATTCAGTTTATTCATATACAAAAATTATCTTCAAATATTTAGACTGTCTTAACTTAGGGTCGGAGGCTGCAGAGAGCAGGGAATGCTATTAAGGAAGCTGATATAATTAAAATATTTTAAATGAAATAGAATAAATATTTTAATAACATTTATTGAAATAGAAGTGTAATTTATTTTCTTGAAATAATATTTAACAATAGTGGTTTGAGTTTTATATCTGCAGCCTCGCTATTAGTTGTAATATTATGTAGTAGGTTGTATTTTTGCTCTAGTATATTGTTAAAAAGAGATCTGATCAATACTTGTTTTTTCCTTTAAAAGGAACTTTAGGATGTACTTGTGTAATTTTTAATAATTATAAACTTTTTTATTTTTATGTTTTATAAAATTGATCAGGTCTTTTTTGATTGCTAATGAGAATGTCATGTTCATGGTACAGTATTCATTGATGGACAAAGCCACAAAAGTAGTTAGATTTTTGGATAATTTCTTTTTAAGTTTAATGCTATATTGTTGTGAAAAATGAATCCAGTACCATTATAGGAATGAAAAACGGAGTTTATCTATTTCCCTTTTTCATATATTATGTCTTTTTATGTATGACACAGTGAACTATATTATTAATTGAAATAAATAAAAATTTAGTAGAATTATAAATAATGTATTTATTTCATCCGCACACAAGAATACGCTTTTATCGCTTAGATTTCGTGTTCTCTCACAAATTTTGTCATCAACTTTTTATTAGCTCAAGTTATGTTGCTCAGTTGAGGAATTTTTTGTCGAGTATCTCTTCGGCTCTGCAGAATTGCATTCCAAACCGAAGATGTGAATCTTTGCGAATTGACTACACTTAACATTAGCAGTTAGCACTCTTTAATTAAACGATTCAAAGGTGCTTGTAAAAATTTAGTTATTTTAATATATTTTTAATAATATCAACATTTCTAAATTATAAGTGCCACTTAAAAATTATGCACCGCAATTGGATCTTTTTATTGCTATTAATTTTTTTTTACTTGACATAATGACAAGTTATGTCAATTTATGGTCGAATTTTATAAGCTTTAATTAATGTGAAATATTATTATATAAACAATTATGAGAAACGTATTAAAAGTAAAGGGTAAAAATGAATAAACAATAATTTTTAGATAAATAGATCGCACACCTTAACATTTATATTTTTGTTTCTCTTCCCAGAGACGCTATGTTTATGCTGCTTTGTTATTTTAACATTTATAATATATTCAAATCAATTAAAAGTTAATCCAGATTTAACGAAGAATAACAATTCCCATTTAGAGGTCAGAGCTGTAATGGTCATGTGTGATGTAAATGTAAGAAGCTTAAAGATTTAATAATACAAATATTCAGCCCTTTTTAACGTCCCACTGCTGGGCACGGGCTTCCCTTCAGCACGAGGGGAATCAGGCCATAGTCCACCACGCTGGCCAAGTGCGGGTTGGTGGAAAATACAAATAATACTTTCTTAGATTTACGCAAATATTTGACATTTAAAAAAAAACTATCTTTCCGGAAGAGATCCTCCCGTGACCATAATTGCTGTAAAGCATTCGAAACGTCGGGAACCAAAAATCAAAATTAATCCGCGAAATAATCCGAAAAGATAGTTTTATTTAATAATACAAATTTAAAAATCATGAAGGTATTCGGTAACTTTATTAAAGTCCCTTACTATAGGAAAATTCGAGAAATTATTTAGATGGAGAAACAGTTCGTTTTCAGCGCGAAGAGCTTTTCAAGCATAGCGCTATGGAAGACTGTAAACAAAAACTGGCTCTCACTGTTAAAATTTCAAGTGATGCTAGTGTTAGTAGTTCATTTTTAATAAGGATTTTAATAAGTAGCTTGTAACGAAATAAATAAACTTTTACGAAATATATTTATTAATCTATACATATAATAAATACATTAAATATTTTTTTGAAAATCTTATTGAAATGGACATTATTATCGATACAGAGGCCGAATCTATAGTTTTTAGAATTTTTGTCTGTCTGTCCGTTACCGCATCACGGAAAAACCAATGCACGGATTTTGATGAAATTTGTTAAGATGATAGCTGGTTATCCGGGTCAACATATAGGATACTTTTTACCGCGGGAAAATGTCTCATTTTTGAGAAAAAATACAAAAACTGCAATGTAAGAATATACTAATTATCTAAAACCTAAGAATTTGTTTTTTGGTTATCTGAACGCGGGCGAAGCCGCAGGCAATGCTAGTATGATTAATATTACAGAAATTTTCTGGTGATGAATATATTCCAATTGAACATGTACTGGGAGCGGACAAAAGACGAATTAGACTTTTTAATCCATACGTTTTGCGATTGCGAAGAGAATCACCTTTTCAAGCTTACAAGTTACGAAAAATTGAAGTAGGTACTACGACATTTTTTACAATAATATAAGGTAAAATATTTCACTAAAATACGATTTGAAAACCACAATTTATCACATATTTTTAGACGGTAAACGGAATCATAGTTACTTCTCATGAGGAAATACAAACGACTTGGAAAACGTTCGAGGTAAATTTAATAATTATACTTATATGTATATCATAACTTTTAAATTTTTAACTTGGAAAATACGTTCAATTTTACACTTATTAATTTGTTTATGTAGTTTGAATGTCATAACTCTTTATGTATCATATATTCCAGAATCGTATTCAACGTGATTTGTCTTCTGAATTTGACTCTACAACTGACAACTTTTACAATGACCTAATGAACTCAAGGAAGAAGGGTTCAGGTGAGGTGGTTATACATCACACTTATCTATTTTATTAAGGTTTATTATACTTATAGAATGTTAAACCCAATACCCATCTTTATATCTACGTCACATTTAATACTATAAAGACGAAGGTTTGTCGGTGAGTGTGGGTTTCTTACGTATTGTGGTGAGGGTCTTACGCTGTAATGGCATTTTAACGCGAAATTCATAATGGAGATAGCTTATATCAGGAAGTGTGGGCTGGGCCGCATCCCAGGTGCGCTTCTTGGCTTCGCGACCGGATTGCTGGACTCTAATGAGCCGCACCACCACCACAAGGTGAACACATCGGGGGGAAGTAGCTATATCCTTGATTAACACATAGAACGACACGACACGTTTGGCTCAGTTTGTATTAACCCTACTTGCTGTGCCAGCAGTCGCGGGTTCGAGTCCCGCTGGGGGCATTCATTTGTGTGATGAGCACGAATGTTTGTACTCCAGTCATGGGTGTTTATATATATAATGTGTATGTATTTAAAGTTATATATATGTAGTGTATCAACCATCTGGTATCCATAACACAGGCCTCGTAGCTTACCATGGTAATGTAATGTAATAAATGGCACTAGATGATGCTATGTGTTATATGTATATGTAGTATGTCCCAACATATTTATTTATAGTTATGCATTTTATGAACGTACCATGAAAGCGAAGCCGTAGGTAAAACTAGTTGTATTACATTATCGTGGCTTATAAACCTAATGCAACAAACACATACATACCTAACCCTCCTTTGGACTTCGACGCAGTCGGGTAAAGATAAACTTTTCCAAAAAAAAATTAACATCCAAACTGAGAACCTCTTCCTTTTTTTATATTCGGTTAAAAATATTTTTTACAAACTTAATGACTTTTAAGAATAGGTACTTGTAGCCTAAATCCAATTAATAATTAATTAATAAGTATCTTTAATATTTTTTTATTTCCTTTTCTACAAATATTGGGTACTAACAAGTGTTTTCTTTGTTTTAATGTCTTTAAATAATTATCACTTAAACACATATTACTTCACATATTAACATCTTTTAATCTATATTGCATTTTGTGTCACGTGTATTCATTGTCACAGCTATCGTCCGTAAACATTTCCGTTTTTATTTTCTTTTCAAACGGCAGAACTAGATGTTCCCTTTCGCTTTGTGTTTTATCTTCCCCAGATAAATATTCTTCTGCATCAATGATTACCGCAAATATTTTTTTTTTCACTTGGGTTTGCATCCAGTGTGGCATAGTTTTTGTACTTTGAAGTATACAGTTGAAGAAAGACTCGAGCGCATCTGACTCTTGGCGATTTTCAGTTTTGCATTCAAGACACCGACGTTTTGATAGTGGAGCTCCAATTAGTTGACCATCGGCGCTTTCTGTTGTAGACACATCGTGTTCAGAATTCTTTATACTACTGGTAGACCCTGAGGGCGGATCTATCTCAATGTTTTCTGTAATTCTGTATTTCATGTGTGGTTCAAGAAATTGCATAGCTTTGGCGTATTTCCACGTTGTGATTTGAGCCGGCAATAATTTATTTTTTCCAAGCTTAGCTCGCTTCAGGGCGTCTCGATGGTTATCACGTAATTTCTTCCATTCTATTTTCGCTACCTGTACTATGAAAATAGGTATAGATTAATAAAAACATAATGCATAAAAAATAATTTATACATATAATAAAATTGTAACTAAGCCGAATCTTTACATTAAATATTTTTTTGGAAAATCTTATTGAAATAAACATTATCGATACCGCGGCTCCGCCCGCGTTCAGATGACCATAAACCAAATTCTTAGGTTTTACATATTAGTATACTCTTACATTGCAGTTTTTGTACTATGCATGCATGTATTGCAGAAATGAGATATTTTCCCAGGGTAAAAAGTATCCTGTATGTTGACCCGGATAACCAGTTATCATCATAGCAAATTTCATAAAAATCTGTCCAGTGGTTTTTCTGTGATGCGGTAACAGACAGACAAAAATTCTAAAAACTATAGATTCGGCCTCTGTATCGATAATAAGTTTCATTTCAATAAGATTTTCCAAAAAATATTTAATGTACAGCAGGTTCAACTTAATTAGAATTTTGTTATATGTAGGTATAGATGAGTAATTGACTTACATACATAACTTTTTAAACCTGTTTTTATAGTATTGATTAATTGTATGTAAAGGAGAATGGGCAAATTTAGAATGGGTTCCGTCCCCAGGGATAAGTGTGTATCAAGTTGTGATATATGTTATTTTTTTAGATAATATTAGTTCTATTTTATTGTATGACACGAACAATAAGATACGTGCAGAGAAATTTAATTACTAATTATAACTTGATACACTCTGTGGACGAAACTACCCCTCGTCCTTTACGATATTATTTTATTTTCGATTTAATTTATAATAATGATTAAGTTTATTGTTGATTTCTTTTGCCTTTGTCTGTGTAAAAAAATTAAGTTGTGAACACTGTACACGCGTGTGGGCCTACGGTAAATAAATAAGCTTTAAATGTATTTTCGATCCATTTAACTGATAGAAAAATGTACCTATTTTTAATGTTTATCGAATTATATTCTGTACAATGCCAAAAATGCATTCAAGTTCGCACAATACTCTTTACGCGCAAGCAGATGCTATTATAACCTGTTTTTATGAATCTACTTCATCCCCATCGCCTCCCTCCCATCTAACAAAGTTTTGAATATATATTTCGATGTACACGGAAAGGCTTGATCCTTAATCTACTTAATAAAATAATACATACAATAAATCCTATTTATTTTATATACTAAACCATTTTCTTTTGATAACTTGATGAAATAAGTTGCAACATTAATGTTACACCTTTACACTCCATTAAGCTGATACTTTTGAGGAAGGTACTGGGTACTTCAATTCTCTTCGAACATTAAAGTATAGTTTGATATCTAATGATACTAAACAATAAAATCACTTACTTTATCAGTTACTACCATACTACAAAGTGTACCATAAATCGTGTTTAAGTAATTGCAAAATATTCTACACAACATTAATATGATCACACCGCTTAAAACTTACTATTGGGTATAGAACTGTTTTTATAATGATCGACGACGCACTGCCATGCCTCATCTTTGACGTGCATCTCGCGATAGTCTGGATGCAGGGGATTCCATAAACAGGGTTGTAGCCGAACACCTTCTATAAACGTTTCCATGATACCAATAAAACTTATGTAAAATTAAACGTGTTGTTGTATGCACCCGGGCGCGTCACTGTCGTTCACTGCCAGGTGACCGGCCTCGCATTGCCTCGCGCTGGCTCGCGCGTGTTCGTTCTCTCCCCGCGCCGGCCCGCGCTATGCCGCTGATTTGAAAACCAGTTCTTTGTGGAACGTGATTGGAAAGTATACACAAGTATAAAATACACTATTGCCTCGTCTGCGCTGTTGTTATTACAAAATTTATTACCAGAATGTACGACGACAAATTTATTTCAATCTATATGTATATATTAAAATTGTAACTAAGTCGAATCTGTACATTAAATATTTTTTTTGAAAATCTAATTGAATTAGACATTATTATCGATACAGAGACCGAATCTATAGTTTTTTGAATTTTTGTCTGTCTGTCTGTCTGTTACCTCATCACGAGAAAACCACCGGACAGATTTTAATATAATTTGGTATGATGATAGCTGGTTATCCGGGTCAACATATAGGATACTTTTTACCGCGGGAAAATATCTCATTTCTGAGAAAAAATACAAAAACTGCACTGTGAGAGTATACTAATATGTAAAGCCTAAGAATTTTGGTTTTTGGTCATCTGAACGCGGGCGGAGCCGCGGGCAATGCTAGTTTATAATATTATGTCATCATATCAATCATTTACAATTTCGATGTAGGCCATACTTAATATGTACACACAAAATATTTCGAATACATTTCGAAGTACAATAAATACTTAGTTTTTCATAAATATTTTTGTATCATTTATACACGTATTATAAAGCAAAGTCGATTTTTTGTCTGTCTGTTTCTCCGCTAATTTCTAAACAACGCAACGGACTTTGATAGGGTTTTCAGTTTTCACTATCATTTAGAGAATATCTTCCGGAAGATTTATATGTATAATACATGCATATTATAGTACAGAAAAGTTGAGAATTTCAAAGATTTGTAAGGTAATTCATGAATTTTGTGATTTTTCATTTCGGGTATGAGTGAACGAGCTTGTTTGTAAACCTTTAATCAATAGACAATAATTATTACTTGTTGATCGAAGTTGTACACACATAGTGCTACAGTGGCAGTGTAATCTTTCCAGCACATATGTACCTACTATTAATGATCGCTTAAGTTATTCATTTAATTTAAATATTCAATTTCTTTAATACACACCGAAAGCCGACCTGCGGCTATAATTTATTAAAGTATTTATTATTTTTATTAATTACGAATATAAATGATGTAATTTTTAATTAAAAAACTGGTTTAAGACATTTAAAAAAATAAAAACTGGCTTCTTAACATTAAAAAGAAAAAAATAACTAAATAGGGGGTTTTAATTACATATTATAGATAGGTACCTAAAAGAATGAGATATTTTCGAAGTCAGTGCCAGCCGATGCAAAGCAATCTATTTCGATATGTATATATAATAATAACAAAAAAATAAAAACTGACTTCAAACAAAAGCACTAAAAAGTAAAAAATAACTGATTGGTAGTTTTCATTTACTATACATACCTAATCAAATATTTTCGAAGTCGGTGTGCTTTGCTTTGTATGGGCTGGCACCGATTTCGAAAATATTTGATTAGGTATGTATTTAATAGGTAGGCTTTACTTACTTAGCCAAAGCACACCGACTTCGAAAATATTTGATTAGGTATGTATAGTAAATGAAAACTACCAATCAGTTATTTTTTACTTTTTAGTGCTTTTGTTTGAAGTCGGTTTTTATTTTTTTGTTAAAAAGTTTTTATTTTTCCCTTTTTAGTGTAGACAGTAGTAGCATAGTAAGGATTCTAACGTGTTAGACTTGTCAAATCAAACAAAATAAGCCCAAACTCAAAGTATCTACTATTAGCCGTTGAAGAGTTCCACCTATCCACCTTCTGGCCTTGCCATCAGATCAGGTCAACAACACCGAACCACTGTACTATCAACGGAAATAGAAATACTTGCAAAGTTTCAAGTCAATATGACAATTAGAAGTAGGTTAAATTCATCATTTGTTGTTTTTCCACCCTTAGGGGTGGTATTTTTTTTTTGAAATTTAAATGGGACCTATCTGGAAGTATACCCTTTCAAACAAAACAAGAATTGTCCAAATCGGTTAATAAATGACGGAGTTCTGAGGTAACAAACAAAAAAAAAAGAAAAAAAACACAGTCGAATTGAGAACCTCCTCCTTTTTGAAGTCGGTTGATAAATAAGTACATCGAAACTGTATCATTGTATGTATAATATTTAACAATAATGAAAGTGCATACTCCTTGTCATATTTTCCTAGTAGCATTAACCCACCCCCTGAAGGGTTCGACCCTAGTGAAAAAAAATTTTCCACGGGAACCGTACATTTTGCTCGGGATAAAAAGTAACCTATGTGATATTCCAGACTATAATCTATCTCTGTGCCAAATTTTATCCAGATCCGTTCAGCTGTTCTGGTGTGAAAGACTAACAAACATCTTTCTATCCAAACTAAATTTCACATTTATAATATTAAGCTAAGTTAATAGGATTAATGGAATATACGAGTAATATTATATTAATAATGAAATTACATATTCATATCTTAAAGCATTGTAAGCTGGTGCCGACAACTGGTCGGTTTTTAATGTTAATGAAATAAATAATGTTTTAATGGAAGTCGGTTTTTTTAAAGGATTTGTTTTTTTTTTAAATTTTAGTGTAGACTTCTTAAGCAAATTTGTAAAAAGAAAGTATTTTAATAAAATATTATCTTCAGCCACTTACCTTAGTTGCATGTCAATTTTTATATGAAGACTAACAAACAAAAAAACTGGCTTTTATTAGTCATACTAAAAATCAGGCTCTTTAAATCCAATTCTAACGTATTAAGCTTGTCAAATCAAACCAAATAACCCCAAGCTCTAATTATTAACTAGTAGACGAAGAAAAGTTCCACTATCCCTTTAACTTTTTACTACCTACTGATCTCACCGACCGACCGAGCATAAGATCAGTTTTTTTTTTTGGGACATTAACACACAGCACCATCTAGTTCCATAGTAAGCTACGAGGCTTGTGTTATGGATACCAGTTAGTTGATACACTACACATATATAACTTTAAATACATATATATTATATATATATAAACACCCATGACTGGAGTACAAACCTTCGTCATCACACAAATAATGCCCCCAGCGGGACTCGAACACGCGACCGCCGGCAAAGAAAGTAGGGCCACTACACACTGAGCCAAACATGTCGTCAAATGATCAGTCCGATGATACCAAATCACAACAAATACTTGCAAAGTTTTAAGTTAATTAGAAGTTGGTAAAAAAGTCTTATAAAATAAAACTACTACTTCTTTCTTGATTTTCTCCAAAACCAACACTAGGAGAGGAGGACCACCGCGGTATCCATTAGGAAAACTAAAATACAGTTTAACTTTAAGTAGCGAAACCGGTCAAACCGTCTCAGACAAATCGGTGGAAAAATATACAGACGAACATAAAACCTCCTCTTTTTTGGAAATCGGTTAAACATTATGGAAATAAAAATTAAATCCATTAATTATTTATATTTTTAGAAGGCACCATAATAAAACGACATGTTTCTTATGCTCTATATGACGAAAATTTTGGAAAGGATGTTCAGAAAAATTATGCAATGCCTTTATATTATGACGATTATCATAATAATGAAAATGTTTATTCTATGAAACACAGAAAAGCTACAAAAGTTTTATTGAATTCAGGTAAGGACATGAAATATAATATAAGCTTACAAGTTATTTCGACAGTATTCGAAAAAACAGAAGTTATTTGAAATTGGCAAATGAAAAAAAAATGTGTATCTCAGGCGATAAACAGAATGCAGCGTCCAATATAAATGAAGCTACATCAAGTCATTCAAAGGGCAAGAGCTCTAAAGAAAAAAACATTATTAAAAACTACAAAAAGGAAATATTAGAAGGCAGTTCTCTCGTGCGCGGTAAGGTAAAAAATAAAGAACGAGAATTTGCGTTGTATGAAATTAACGATCCAGAGTTATTGTGCGCTGCTCATTTACAATTATTTGAAAAGCTCATTTCACCCCGAGGAAAAACGTTATGGAATGATTTAACCAAAGATGAAACTGCGACGTAAGTCTTTAATTTACTTATAGCGTAACATATACTTGTGTTATCATAATATATGTATGTAGATTGTAAATATATGTATATTAAGGTGTGCCAAGAAACGACGATATATTTTTTCTTTGCTCTCACCCCAAAATATCTCAGAAAATGTCCCAACAAAGCTCCTGTTAAAAGCGGAGCTCAAAGTTACAATTCTAAGAGGTTCTTCATCGAATTTTAAGTTTTCCCATATAAATAACATGGAAAACATGGTTTTTGATTTGTTATATAGCTTTGAAGTTCAAATTTACGGTTTTTTGCAATTTTTACCTAAACTGTAAGAGTTAGAGAAAAATGTTAAATGGCAAATTTGTTGTACGTTGAAAATCCTATAAAACAGTCTTTGTCAACTTTTTCATATCATCAATAACAACAAAGTTACAGGCTCACGAACATTCGATGGAGAACCTCTTAGAATTGGAATTTTGAGCTCCGCTTTTAACAGGGGCTTTGTTGGGACATTTACTGCGATATTTTGGGGTTAGAGCAAAAAAAAAAAATATCGTCGTTTTTTGGCACACCCTAATGTACAACCTTATTGATTATTATTTTTTTAGAGTTAACATAAAGAATTCTAAATGGTCAAATCAAGACGTCATCATTCAGTATAAACCAGTAGAATACCTAACTCGAGAGGACTTTAGTCTTCCTTTGCAGAATTTATGTTTAATCGTACCTTTAAAGGGTGCCGATGACATTTACCAAGAAGGTAATAATTATTTTGTATACTGGCTTTACTAAAAGCTTTTTGTAGTTTCCGATAATCCCTATTTTATGTTAATTTCAGGTAAGGTGCGCGATTTTTTTATAGTGCCAATGAATGATGTAATAACTTTAAACGATCTAGTTGGTGAAAAGAAACGAAACTTAAACGAAAATGAAAGTTCATCTGCATATAATATGTCCATTGGTCAGGTTGTTAAAACACAATATTTACTGATAAAATTTAGATGCAGACGAAGCTATAAGGATAATAAGGATGATATTAGAATACAATTTTATATTTTAGGATTATCGTCGTGTTGGTGTAAGGACTACAAGAGCGCTTATGAGTGATCGTAATGATCTAAAAATATTTTCTCGGGGATCTGAAAAGTATCTTAAAGTGCCTCATACAAAACCTCATCATGCTCAACTTGATATAGAAGCAAGAGCAGATGATAATGAACTCGTTCTCGTTGGGTAAGACCTAAGATACGATTTGATAGATAGATGAAATGATGAAATAATAAAATAAATATTAGATCTCTTATATTTTTATGGTGCAGGGCTTTTGGTCGTCTAATGACCATTGTATCAGATTCGACTCGGGCAACTCGTACAGTATTAACCGTACAGGCTTCTAACACGGGCTTAGCGGCGAGCAATTTCAGGTTGTAATCTTGTCTTCTGTTTATGAAATTATTTTAAATTCCTAAGTCCATAATTGAAAATGTTTCAGAGTTTTAATTCGTGACTGTATCCCTTCATCAATGGTAATGAGCGCTGAAAATGCTGTGGCAGATACAGTAATGTTACCACCTAGACATACTAAAAGTTTTCGCATCAATATTCTTTTTAAAATTCCCGTTGACATTGCTCATTGTGCTGGTATTATTTTTAATTATCATATTTATTATATTAGCAAAACACAACACAAATAAAATTTATTACACCGTTACAGTGGCATTGGTCAATGATGATGACGAAAGTATTGCTGTTCGAGATATTAAAATTAAAAAAGAAGATCGTTGTTTCTGTGTGTGGTATTGTGATTGCGTATGCTTAAGTAAGTTATGTTTAAATGCATTTTACTCAAGAATATATCAATATGATAATTTGTTTAATGTTTAAACTTATTTTATAGTTTGTTAGCAACTTATCCTTGCTTTGTTCACGTGGATCCCACGTTTTCGTGGGTAAGTTTTAAATAGATACTACCTTATGAGATAGTCCTTCAATTTCTAGTTCATTGTTCTTATTAAAGTTTAGCCAGCGTTAGCCTTGTAAGGGTACGAATATGGTTGAACTATGACGAATCATTTTGTACAAAATATTTACAAATATGAACACAACCCTTCTACGTTTGTTGCTCTTTCTATTAGTGAAAACCGAATCAAAATCTGTTGCGTTGTTCAGAAGAAGAGTACGGAGAAACTACAGATTTAGAGCATCTAGGTATATATGTTGGAGAAACAGCGATTTTGTTTTAAACTATGTTAGATTAGTCAGTACACTGCCTAAGTTCTCTTATATGACTACAACTAGAAACTTGATTATATCATCACTATAAGAAATAAAACAAAATAATTTTTTTTTCGGATTTTTCACAACAATTCTGTTTAGATTTTTGGTTCCCGACGTTTCGAAAACTTTGCAGCAATTATGATCAAGGGAGAGACAGAATAATCTGTATTAAGATATCTAATAATTTAATTTTTAATTTTCTTTGGACATTCCATAGCTTAAATTAAATCTTTTTACGTCAGTGTTATTTTTAAAAACTAAAAAGAAAAGCTTTAACATACTTCCACTTTGTTGTGTACTACCTAGGTAGAGCCTTAGTATAGTGTTAGTAGATACTTATAATCGGGACGTTTTAATTAGGGTTTCTTCCTACGTAAATAAAATTTGGTTCCTTCCCAAAATGTGGACGTAAGACATAAGTACTTTCTGTTGGGTCTCATTTAGTAAGCTAATTTTTTTCGTTCTCCGATTTTTTTTGTTCCTTATTCCTATACTTACTTACATAAGCTCTATGTATGGCTACGTTTGCTGCTTTTTATCAGGTAGGCCAGCGATCTGCTAACTTTGAAGCAAGCAGAAGAGTCAAATGAATTAAAAATATAAATTTTTGAAATTTCAAAGAATCACAAATTTTAAGTATTTCCTTTAATTTAAAAAAAAACTGCCCGTCTGTGTAATTTGTCTGCCGTTTTACACAATAGCTACTGGTACTGGTAGTACTATTTTGATCAAATTTTGTGCAAGAATCGGAAGCATACTCAGGCAACATAATATAAGTAACTTTTTTTCCCGGAATGTAAAAAGGTTCCCCGGGAAAAGGAAATATAAGGTAGGTAATGTAAATATTTGAATTTTGGGAAAACTAATGTAATTTGGTACGAATTAAACATGATGATTTGGTATGAGTGCACTTTTATCCCGGAAAACGGAAGGGTTGCCCCGAGGAAACAAAAAAACGTGTATTTAAATGAATATAGACAATAGAATTTTCTTTAAAGATAAAAATGACATTGGTTTCTGTATTATTGTTTACTCGATCTTAAGATTGAAGCAAAAAAACAATCCTAATTATACCAACAGCGAGGTATACAAGTGCGTTTTTCTCTGTTCAAACTAATTATACTTATTTTAAGAGGAAGTCTATCTATTTCTTTGTAACTTTGGCATATTGCAAAAATCTGAAAATATAGGTGTATTTAAATATTAGATATTATATAAGACTACAGAAGGTATTTCTATATTTAGGTGAAGATCCTAAACTGCTGTGTCGTAGTTTATCAGACGCCCAGCTCGTAGCTGCAGGACTGCCAGTACAGCGTGGAACACGACACGTTCGGTCTATATGTTACCCAGATGTGGTCACTATTAATATCTTCGTTACAATGATCGGAATTTTGCTGGCTTTGTTGTTTCTTGGTCAGTTTATATACTAGATATAGTTTTTCACAGATGGTGTAATAATTAGTCAGAATTAGACAAAATCAAAATAGCCTGGAAGTGATGACAACTACAAATATTGAATACCTACTAAGCGATTTACGTGGTGTATCCCTTTAGTTAGCGTTAGCTTGAATTGTTTTGAAGCACATAAAAGACAAACATCCAAAGAAATATTCTTTTTTTATGCCAGGATCCTTCGCAGGCGCATACAATGTAACCCACAGAGTTTCATCACCATCGGGTCAATGATTTAGGAAGTTGTATTTTTAATTAAATAATTCCAATTGGTTTTTGAGTTCATGCACTTACCTACGAGTAGGTACATGTTATTTTAATCTAATGTCTAATTACTGTTATTTTAATTTTAGGTATTATAAAGGGGTTTCTTGGGCTAATATTACGAGGTGGAGGCTCATGGGGATTGCATTTAATTCTTCAAACACCACGGAAGCTTGAACGATATTATGAATCGTCTTTGCGTTCTCGACGAGTAGTGTATGATAAAGAAGGCTGGCCTATTCACCCTGACACTAAGCAACGTGATATTCGTCTCGTCAGCAAGTTACTATGCCTTATGACTTTTATTGAAAATGCTATAAATGCTATTGAAAGTATGATCAATCAATTATTACTAAGTATTTATTAATTCCAGATTCATGGAATTTATTTTGAATACGATATTTTTTATTATTTTGCCGTGCGCAATGATTTGGGACGTCGTGAGAAAACTTTCAAAGCGTTGTCAGGTTGCTGAGCGTAAATCCAGTGCAAACTATAGAAATGAACATAAGAAATGTTTTAGTTCACACGACATGCAGGTACTTATTATTTAGAAGCTTTCAGTGCTTATGATGAGCAGCAAAGAATTACACATCACATATGTTATACTAGCATTGCCTGCGGTCAGATGACCAAAAAGCAAATATTTAGGTTTTACATATTAGTATTGTCTTATGAGTACAGTGAAGTTTTTGTACTATTCTCAGAAATGAGATATTTTCCCGCGGTAAAAAGTATTCTATATGTTGACCCGGATAACCAGCTATCACCATACCTTTCATCGAAATCCCTCCAGTGGTTTTTCTGTGATGCGGTAACAGACAGACAGACAAAAAATCTAAAAACTATAGATTCGGCCTCTGTATCAATAATAATGTCTATTTCAATAAGATTTTTCAAAAAATATTTAATGTACAGAATCGGCTTAGTTACAATTTTATTATATTGTAGATATATAGATTTTTTAGACTTATAAGTACCTACTTATCAATCATGAATATATGTATTTTTTTGTTTATTTTTTATTTGAGTCTTTGTGCAATTCCTGGCTGTTTTTAGGGATTCGAGCCGCTACACCGTGATAGATATGGAGGCCTACGTAAGTGGATGACACCACAGGCTGAAGAACTCTCCACTAAAGTTCTACATAAAGGACTTACTCCGGATGGATGTGTAAGATATTTGATAGATTATATTCGCCGATGTCAATGTATAAAGTTGGTATCTACCTAATAATGCCATGTCTTATATTTTTTTCTCTTATTAAGTGCAAGGCTACTTTACAAAAAACTTGTAAACTTTTTCTACTGTGATAATACAGTTAACACTTAATTATAATATTAAATGATCAATTCTTGTATAAAGACAATATATATATATATATATATATATATATATAAATTTATTTTCGTGTAACTCAGAAACGGCTCTAATTATTTGGATCAAATTTTGTATTTAGACAAGGGTTTGCTTTTTAAGTTTATCTATATATTTATATACATAATAAGTATATTATGTTTAAGTTTATCTATGTATATAACTCTGAATTTGTCTTTTCTGAAAATTGCAATTTTGATATCTTTCCCGTAAAATATCGAGCGAATTTTGGTCACCAAGGTGTTAAAATTTGTTTGCAGACACGACCTCTTCTTCAAGAGCAACTGTGTTGTGATAAAGTCATCGATCAATCATCCTACATGGATTCTGAAAAAGATGATACAGACTATGTTCTAATGCAAATGCACAAAAGCAAAGTAACTTTAGCTGTGAGCTTCATTTAATTACTTTTATTGTTATTTATAGGCAGGTAGCATACTTTATGATGAGGCTAAAAGGTGTTGGCATTTCATAGGGAGAGAGCAGTGGTAGCCTAGTTGTAATGTGCTTGCTAGAGAAACCAGATAAAACGGGTTCGAAACCCTGGCCTCGCACCTCTGATTTAACATGCGAATCATTTTCGACACGATCATCACTTGTCTTACGTTAAAGGAAACCAATTGAGAGAGAACCTTTCTAGGTTCTAGTTTTCGAAAGGCATGTAAAGTCTGCCAAACCGCACTTGGACTATAGCCTGATCCCTCTCTGCATTTTATGGAGACCCGTGCCCAGCACAAACAAAATGACAAAACAAATATGTTAGGGTTATGGAATAATCAACCAAACATGAATGAAAATGACATGTTCTTCTAACATCTAACAAGTTAACATGTAACATCCAAAAAGTTGTAAACATATGTATGTACTTACATGGCACATTCGATGCTCCATGTTTAACTTGAAAAACTTTAACTAATACCTACCTAAAAGACACCCTTTATCCTACAAACACATACCTTGCTAGGTAATAGTTATTTATAATTTCTTTTATACAGAGAAGTCAAAGAAGATTTGAGAATACTAAAGATATTGGAACTGATGCTGAAAACAAGGAATGATAAAAAAAAAAAAAAAAAATTAACTTCTTCATTTATAACTATAGTGAATAAAATAAATATTAACTTAGCATTGAAATAAGTCATTAATATGTTCAGTATTATTTCTCTATTTCAAATGTTACCTAGGCAAATTATGTATATTATATATTATGTATGCATTCATTATGATGAAAATTACATTATGCGACAAATTAATATTCCATGTAAGTACTCCTACTTGATGTAATAAGAAAGAAGGATCCTATACCAGTATCCTTCTACCTCTGAAATAAAGATACTTTTGATACTACCTTTCTTATTTACAAATGTGAAGTATACATTAATTTTCAGCAACTGAGCTTCGCTCTTTCAACAATAGAAAAAAATCTAGAATGTAAAGAAGACGTGAAATGAGAATCACAGAGTTGATGTCTGGAAAAATGTCCAGACATCAATCATCATCAGTTATTTTTGATAAAAATATTAAAAAATATTTTTCACTATTGTCTAATTATCCGTGTTTTCGCAATATCCCTAGTGTTTTCGCGAAAATTTGAATTATCAAATCATCCTACGACATAAAGATAAAAATAGTTATTGTGAGCGTACTTTATGAGATACATGCTATCCTGGGGGCTTAGCCATATTACAAACGTTTCCTATCTAATCTATTTCTATCATTGGTAGCGTATTGTCGATAGCTATTTTAGAAAACGATTTGATGCTAGCCATATCAACAAAACTAGTGTCTACAGTGTCAATCGTTCATTCTACAATGTGGATCGAAAAATAGCTTATTGTGAGCGTTCCTATACACGTCAAAGTCACGGTCTTGTTTGAAAAATCAAAATATGTTTTGTTTTGTGATAAAAAAGTGAGTGAATTATAATGGAAATACTTGAGTGTTCAATATTCTTATTTTAACGTAAGGATATTTACATTTTACGTCAAGAATGCAGCTTACGTGAGGTCGATGTAGAGTGGATGTTTTTGTTCAGCACCTATGAAGTGGTTGATAAGTGATTTAAAATCGTCGCTTAAGTAAGTATAGCATTCCTTCAGAGTAACTAATTTATATTTTATTTGACAAAATGAAGTGACTCGTAATGTAAGTCGTCACTTTAAGAAAAATAGTTTTGTCTTAAAAAGGGTCTATTGAAATATTTATGTATTTGACTTTGTAGTTCTTAGTGTTACGGGGATGGAAGTGCGCAACGGAGGGGAAAGAGCTTTACTTTAAAATGGGTTAGTTAGCTTAAGTTCGACACATTTCTAGCTGGGGTACTGAGTCTGTGTGTATTGTTAATATCACAGTGCCAAATATAAATAAATTATTATAGTGATGATGGAGTCCAGATGCCGAGCTAGCCCAGAACAATTTTCAGCTTTACTAGAATTCATGGAAAGGTACGTATATTATTATTAGTTATCTCAGCTTATAGTCATACTCAGGAACTAGAAAAAAACGAGGCTACTCTTACTGAGGCTTTAAACTATAACTGTATATTTCAACAATGTAATGTAGACATTTTCCCTAACACCTTAAGTTTATTTAAAGAGAAATTGTATTTAAATATTTAGATAAGATTAAATTGTTGAACAACTTCAATGTCACTACCAATTTTAATTTATTAGAAGACAACACCGGGGTACCTATATATATACCACTTTTTGCCCAGTTTTGTTTATTGGGCCATAAATTTTTTGTTTCTTGGCCGATTTCGATGTTTTTTTTTTCAATTTATGGAGGATAAAATGCACTTTGATTTGATGATATATATATATATATATATATATATATATATATATATATATATATATATATATATATATTTATTTGTTGTATATTATTTATCATATTTGCGTTTTGTCGCATTATATAGGGGATTGTAACTGAAGATCTTTTTTTAATTTATTCCTCAACCACATAAAATTTAATTAAAATATTTCTACACAAAGCTGTGCCTTTTAGTTAATTAAATAGAATTAAATAGAAAAGAAGAAAATTAATTAAATAAAAAATAGAGAACTATTATTGTGTTAAACTCATGTCACTATGTAAATATAGTTAGTAAGCCTTTGACAAAAAATAAATAAAATATAATAGGTTTACTACTTGCATAGAAAACAAACAAAACGATTGTATTCACCAGCAAAGATGCTTGACACCTCTAGGTTAATTTCTAAGAAATTAATTAAAATTCTAAGAAATTTATTGTTAACTGACATGCCGGCGTGTCCGCGCTCGTGGAGGGATTAATCAATAGACCCTTTATTTTTCTAATATAGTTTTAATTTATAGCCATGGAGATATAGCAAGACCCCAACAAGGGGCTCAAGGCAGGATAAGGGCAGACCATCTATGGCAGGAGTTGAGAGAGTTACTTAACTCCATTGGTGGAGGAGTCAATAGATCAATGGAAAAATGGAAAAAAGTGAGATCCATTATTTTAATTCTTAAGAAAAGCTCTCAATAAAATTATACATTTTTTATAGGTATTTCAAGCTCAGACTAGTGTTAGCATATTTATCTATTTTAGTTTAATTAAAACAATTGCAAACCAATTGATGAAATGTACCTTAGTACAATAAATATTTACTATATAGTAAAAAGAGGCAAAAATAATTATATGAAAATATGTCCTTCATCTTTCTCACACAACTTTAAACATACTAATAAAATCTGTTCATTATCAATAAACAGAATAATAGTAGATATCAGTGTATATAACAATCTGTTCACTTAATTGACTGTATAATTAGATAACAACTTACATTATTTTACATTAACTGACTAATATCTGCAGGTGTGGGCGGATTGGAAAGCCAAAACAAAAAAAAAGGCCTTGGCAATGCGTCGCGAGGCTAGTGGTACTGGTGGTGGTCCAAGCAGCAGACAAACTCTCACAGCTTCGGAACAAAGGGTGTTGGGCATAATGGGTTTTTCTGCTGTTTTTGGTCTAGTTGGAATTGAGGAGAGAGGATTTGATGTTAGTTATTTACTTTCCTTGTGATTTTTGTAGTAGTAGTTGTAATAATAGTAATATTAGATTACTACTACCCACTAATAAGTGGGTTTAGGTTGAATTCTTTAATGTATATTTGTCATATTCTCAGGAACCACCACTTCAAGGAAGCCCTCTACCATCACCATCCAGAGATACCGTCCACACTGAATTTCCCTCCCAAACTGCCGCAGACGAGATTATGTTGTATTCTATAGAAGGTACTTTCTACTTGTATTCATTATGTGCTAAAATGTATTTGCACGTGAAGGATTATAATGTATAATTCACACCTTGCTTTGTATTGCCCAAAAGGTTAACAAAGCGTTAAGTCATATAAATAAAAATTAAATGCTGTTCATTGGTAAGGGCATTATTTGAGAAGTAATATATAATCAGTTTGTAACTATAAGTTTTGTTTCCTCAGCGTCTCCTGCCCCATCAGCTCAACTGCCATCTCCCTCTATACTTTCACGTCTTCCTCCAACCCGAGTGTCAACACCACCGCTCGCCTCTGTGACCACGCCGATGCCGTCAGCGACGTCTCGTAATACAACTATACGAGGCGAACCACAACGACGAAGGCGTCCGGCGACCCCTTCGCCTGTGGCGTCACCTGCCACGTCTACGCCGCGGCGGCATAGGCTGCTTCGAGCACGCACAAGGCGAGTACAGACACCATTCGAACGAGCCACGAGCGAGTTCGTAACCGTCGAGAATCGCCGACTGCAATTGGAGGAAGACCGCGAAAAAAATAACCATCAGAGGGAGATGGAACGCCTTCGATTGGAATCGCGAAGGATTGAAATGGAAGAAATCCAAAATCAAATGTTTAACCGTTTAACTGGGATTCTAGATAGTTTGACAGAAATTTTAACTCAGTTGAGACTATCATCACTGGCTTCAACAGTTATTCTGTCTTGATGTGTCCAGTAATGGTGGCCTCACTTGTGAATGTGTCAAATTGTCTGATTTTTCAGCATCTTTTATTTCAATCCTTTGCAATTCTTTTCAAAAAGGAAATAGGTATTTTTTTTTAAATACAAATTTTTATTAATGTTTTTAAATTTATTTTATTTTTGTTAATACATTTTAAGTACATTTTTATGCTAAAAACCTCGTCTTCCTTACAATAAGAGTTTACATAATAATAAAGGCATTTAGTATAATGAAAACATTTGTTTCATTTTTACAATTACTTATTAAATATTATATTCATACATTTTATAATATACATATACCTAGTAAAAAAAGAAAAATGCAAATATTCACATTAATATTAGTGATGTAGATAACGAATATTCGAATATTTTTTGACAAGTATTTGCCTGAAACGAAATAATTTCCCATTTGTTCTAGTTAGTCTAATTGAAAAATTTAAAAATATCACATCTAAATAAAAAAAAGGATATCCAGCCTTATATTTAAAAAAAGATTCTAAATTATCTCTTTTGTGAAGAACGAACTGAATTGACGACACGTTTGGCTCAGTGTGTAGTGACCCTACTTGTTGTGCCAGCGGTCGCGGGTTCGAGGTCCGCTGGGGGCATTCATTGTCTGATGAGCATGAATGTTTGTACTCCAGTCATGGGTGTTTATATTTAAAATATGTATGTTTTTAAAGTTTATATATGTGTAGTGTATCAACTATCTGGTATACATAACACAAGCCTCGTAGCTTACGATGGAACTAGATGGTGCTGTGTGTTAATGTCCCAACATGTTAAAAAAAACTTGAGAAGACTAATCAAATTAATAACAATATCTAGGACTTATAACTCTTGTTACAATTATAGAAGGTTTGTACTTATTTAGCAGATTGTAAACTTTTCATTTACAGAAAACAAAAATATATTTGAAACAAACTTAAACTTATAATATCCAATATGTTATATAACCTTTGGCTTTCATGTATATTTTTCCATTCCATTATATATATTTTTCTAAGAATTAAGGCTAATGAATTATAAACTAAAAAATAATAATAGTGAATACTTAACTGAACCGTTTGTA